TGGTCATACACGTACGTACATTACATTAATATAATTGTTTATTGCACTCGGCATTTTGCCTCACCCATTATTTCGCTGCACTTTCATAAATCCTTTTAGCAATGTTGCTATGCCACAAAACTGTAAATGAAGTCTTCTGAGCAAATGGGGAATCTCTTCACATGTCACAGTTTAAGTTCTCAGGGCACTCGGTGACACTTTTCAATAATTTCTCGTTAAATATAACCTGCAGAAGCAGATTATGACCAACAAACAGCAGCAGCATACAGGAAATTTCAAGCACAAAGCTAATCACTTACCAACAGGACACAGTTGGACATTTTAGTACCAAAACAAATCTCAGTCATACTTTAATACAGGTACAGCATATACCAATGCCTGGTAAATGATTAAAAGGAGCATTCATTCAGAAATCAGTGAAGTCCCCAGAACTCAAGTGATAATTATTGCTTGAGAGGGGCAATAAGTCACTCATTCATTGCCTTTGGCTGCCACGGTTTACATCACTGGCCAAGGAATAAAATTCTATTCTGGTCTGAGACCTCGATAAAGAATGAGAATCAAACCTGCCTGTCACAAGAACAAGTCATAGACAGCGATGCCAATTACAACAAAAGAGACAACTAAAATATCGGTAAATGTGTTTACACTGATGGAGTGGGGTGGGGCGGAGGTTAATTTAATGTTAATTCGGCTTCCCCTAATCTTTGTAATTTCAAAGAAATGTGGAGTCATTCTTCCCGTTTAACTCCTCTTACATTCTACATTTACCACCAAGTTCAAAAGTTTAAGGATAATATGGGGGGGGGGGTTGGTTGAGGTAAGATATTAGTCATCATGTTTTACTCTCATCTTCACTTTCAATTTGAAGTAATTCTATTTTGTAAAACGCTTGAATAAGTTTATTTTTATGTGAAATAATAAATGCAAGTTATTACTATTATTATAATTGTTATAGCATATGGTCTTCCAGATAAAACAACAAATGTTTGGAGGGGTGTTAACTCAGATGGTGTAGTTCTGGGATGGCCAACATGCGGCCCATGGGCTACATTACGCCCACATAAAATAGTCACTTGGGCCTCATGTTGGCCATCCCTAGTGTCGTGGATAGAGTTGCAGTTTATGGACCAGCCTCATTGCCTCAGCCATCCTAGGGTTTGGGAGGGTAAAATCAGCTGCGACTTCTGTTCTGATCCCTTCCAGTATCCTCGAATGATAGCACATGTGTGGCAGGCAGCCAGGTGAAGAGAGGCAGACTTGTCTCTGATGCCCTCTAGAGTCCAGAGGCTTGCTGGCTGGCACTCACTGCCATGTGAACAAAGGCCATTTGGAGGGGGGATAACCGGAGGGAAACCAGCACCAAAGGAGACACACACCAGCCATGAAAAAAACCAAACAGGAAAACAATTGGATTTTTTAAAAAATAAACGAATACTCAGACTTACTATGCATTCGATTTGTCGCACTGTTGTCATTTTATGAGTTTGTGAATTCTGAGAAAGAGCGAGAGAGGGAGAGCTACGTTTTCCATTTAAAGTTATCTATCATCACTTTCTGGGACAGTGAATAGCACATCGCTTGTGTTCCTTGGCTCAATATAACTGCAAATTGTTATCCGTGCAGATAATTCAGAAATATTGACAGAAAGGCATGAAGAATAACTAGAACTTTGTTTATTTGGAAATATTGTGAAGAACCTGCTCTCATTTTCATCAATTTCCTTCCAAAATCATCCTATGCGCTCCAGAATGAAAGTAAAACGGATTCTTACCTCATTCCCTCAGAGATCTGAAAGACTAATATTGGGGCAGTAGAACACATTGTGCCGTGACAAGAGGTCACCATCCCATGACACTCACCCACCCGCTACATTCAGCAGAAGAAGCACCAACACAAGCTGTTTCCCCTGACCTATTCACCCAATAAATACAGGGCAAGTATTTCTCTGCTTCTTCTCCTATAAAAACAGATAGATTTGTACATGTTCTGCACAACCACGTTTAATAGGACAAGTTTTCAAGAGTTTACACATTCTCAATCTGCTTTCAGCTCCCAAACAGCAACTCAGCCAATAGTCTATTGAATAATTTGGACACTATTAAGGCCCAGGTAGAAGTGTTCCATGGTAAAGGGTCTCAGTTGGTTAGTTTAATTTACTGCACGTTAAAGACGAGTGTTTATATATAAACCTCAATTCAATGGACACTGTAGGGGTGATGCTCAAGATGACTGCATTTACCAGACTATAAAGTTTATTGAATCATAAAAAGTTTACAAAGCAGAAGAAGGCCTTTTGGTCCATTCTGTGTGATGGAAAGGTGGCTCTGAGATCCCCCCATGAAACTGCATGCTCTAACCCGATTCTCATGCTTTATCCCTTACTCCATAGTATTTTTCCTCAAAGATGTTATTTATCCAATCTATTTCTAAATGGTGTTATGGACTCAGCTTCAATTTCAAGGTCTGTAAATTCACAGATGTTTGGAGAATTCTGCATGCTACACCGAATATTTAACATACAAAATAAAATCAATTTAGGGTGAATCACTCTGGACTTGAAATTTTATCTATTGCGTATGTATTTTACTCGTTACTCATTTTGATACAAAAAAAACGTAATTCGATCAATAAGTAGCTGAATGGCCATTATTGCACATCAGCTGCAGACAGGCTGGCGGGGAGACTAACAGGGTTGATAATCAATCTCTTTTGAATGGCCTGTATCAACGTATTGTTCTCTTTTCAAGGGGAAAGAAGGCAAGTGATTCAACGACCCATGTCATGGAAACTGATGCTAGGTAAGAGAGGGAAAAGAGGGAAAAATACTCCGTTTGCCATCTCTTATCTTGAATACATGAACTCTGACTGAAAGTTACAACTGGGCACAAAACCAACATAAGCATTTGGACTGAGCGTTTATCATTTCACTTGGAAATCCTTAAGTTACGAAAATAAATGAGGCCAACATGGTTGCTCGTAAGAAAGCGTATTGTTTCAAATCAAAACGAGTGCAGTTAAAAATGCTGTAAATTAGGATTCGTGTTGCTTTAACTTTAAATCGTAAATGAGCCAGTTGAGGTGTCTTCTAAGACATTTGCCGTTTTACTATTGGCCTGGTTGTGACAGGATGAGGGTATCAGAGCTGACACAGCAGAATATAGTATTGCAGTCCTGATGGTAAGGGCTACTCAGTGAGAAGATGTGGGCTCACATCTGTGACTGCCTGGCTGTTCCTGATCCATGTTGACCATGGAGGCACCTGGTGAAGATTATAGCAACACTATCCCACTGTCAAGTATCCATGGCTCCAATTAGGCATTACAAAAGATTTATTCTTCTTTGACAGAAATAAAACCCAGTTGGTGTGGGTCTGAGAACTGCCTTATTACTAAGCCATTTTTCTACATTAAGGGCAAAGAACATAATCCATACTGGAATATTATCTTACGAAATACAAGTTCATAATTGTTTCTGACGGATAGAAATCCAAATACAATGGCTAGGAAGAGCTGGGGTTCAATTGCATCACAACCTGTTCACGTTACACTCTCCTAGTTTATGATCTGTCAGGAGAAACGGGAGGCACAAAATTCCTCATGGCTTATGGGATTCCGTTCCAAAGTCGCTGAAGTAGATCCCCTGAGTCAAGTTGCATTGCCCATTAGTGACTGAGTCATCATTCGTAAAATTGCCTTGCAATCCGCCACTTTAACAATTTAACAACCATACACACCCAAACATTAACGCTGGGTCCTTGACTTCCAACTTTCAATCAATAAGTCACATGGCACAAGCAATAGGGTAAAGCAATACTGCACAAAAAGAAAGGTGCACCATTAATAACAGAGGTAGAGTTTCTCGGTTAATAATTTAGAATGATGTGCTTTGCATACAATTTAATTACTTTGTTCTTTCCCGGTTCTGTCAACTTCACAAAACTGTACTTATGGAACCACCTAGTGGTTTGAATAAGCAACTGCATCTATTTCATTCCCGCCGAGAAAAACTTGCATATTAAATTTGCATTAAACAGTCTTTTACTGTCCGACAGTAAGGCAATATTTTCACAAGTCATGACTGTCAGTTATTTCTGCCAGAACGGATGACGAATGTCTGTCAGTAAATGACAGCACAAATCCACCCGAGGAGTTCACATCACATTGCAAACTGCTCGCATTACTCCTAACTGGTTTACAATCTGTCAGCAGAAGCCTGAAGTCTGGACTACTTGTCTCACCCACTGACAGCTAGCTCGTATCTTCTTTATATAACAGGGCACCAGCTTGACATTTTTAATGAATAGTGTTGAAGTTTACCAGCTTGACGTTTTAGTTGTCTTTCTCCAAAGAGTGAGGATCCCATAGGGGCAAACATTTGGATGTTGGAGGATCTCAGGCATTCAATTATTGCACAACACCTCATTACTGTCTATGCTTTGTACAGTACAGTTCCTTGATCCACACTGTATGGTCAAAATTAAAGTTCATCTATTGTTATTAGTGTGTTACCGAAACAAACCACAAGTCAAACCAAATTCAATCAATATCTGCTTGTGTGTACGCATGCACTCATACACACCCTCACATTTGTACATGACAAAAATTATCACATGGAATACAACACAAATTACAATTATCCAGTGCCTTGCACGTCAGAGGATGTCTCAAAGCTCTTCATAGAGCTGGATGGGCACGTAAGCTAGGGGTAGGATGCGAATGGGTGGGGAGGAGAAAGATTTGGATACGAATTGACACGTGCCTTGAAAGAGGGGAGAAGGAACAAAATAAAATCACAATTCTTTTGGGATGAATTCTATAGACATTTTGAGCTCCAGTAGCCATTGATCGCTGCATTTTCACGTTTCTCCATTGCGAAAAAGTAGCCGCAAAAAAACAGGGTAACGTTTGTGCCACCATTTTCCTTTAAAGGTCATTCATTTGACCGTGTGATTATTTTACTTTACTGAAATGTCAGGTGAATAGGAATTGAACGGTCACCTGTTTTTCTTGGAGTGCTCATCCTTTCCTTTTTTCACTCCGAATATCCTGGTGATCAAAGTGCTAAACAGCAGTGTGGAGGAGTTCCTCACCTGGCGAAGGCAAAAGCACGGAGCAATTATGGAATGACACGATAACGAGTTATATCAAATGCAAGGATTATTATTATTACTATCTTTCAGTTCTGAACACATTTCAAGCCTGGTGGAAGCGAAAACTAAACAATCATTTCAGTTTTGCAGAATTACTGTCATGCTAAATACAACTGCTCTTGAAGGTATTTCAAGTTGCACATTCAACATTGTAGGGATTTCTTGTCTCAGTTATTTTGCCCCCCATGTCAAAAGGTTATGGGTTCAAACCCCATGACACGACTTGGGCTCACAGCCCAGGCTAACACTCTAATGGAGAACAAAGGAGCTTGTCTATCTGTCGTCAATCAGGTGAGACATTAAACCAAGGACTGTTCATTCATGTGGACTTTAAAGACCTCAAAGGCACTGGTCGAATGAGAAAGGAGTTTCTTTCGTTGTCCTAGCTAACAATCTACAAAATAAATTCATTAGTCACTTTGTGGGATCTTGTTGTGAGTAAATCAGCTGTTGGGGTTGTTTCTAAAATCATAGTCACTGCTCGAGAGACAACCAAAATCTACACTCCACAAGCTCCAACTCATCCAGGACTCTGCAGGCTTACATTCTCCCACATTAGTCTCTGTGAGCTCATCAACTGCATCCTCACCCTATTCGATCCCAATTTGATCTCCAACTCAATCGTTGTGAAGTGTTGACTCATTCCCCCTTACGTGAAAGGTAAATTGTTGGTCGTTGCTGTTGCCTCTACTGCCTCCCTGGCTAGTCCAGTCCACTTGTTCACAACTGTCTGTGTCAAGTCATTAAGTCTAAACTGTCTGGTTCACATTCTCTGCTCTGGGCTCGAGTTCGTGCCCCCTTGTTAAATATTACATTAAGATCAATACCATCGAACAGAGATACCATCATACTATGTTCCCCCAATGCAACAATGCATTTCAGATTATTTATAAGTGCAGCGACTATGTAAATAGCAGGCAAACGCGCTCTATGAAGAATAAATTGTGAATTGTGTATTTGCTTGCACACTGAGATTTTGGGAAGTGCTCTGCACAAGCCTTGAAACGTTGAAATGGCAAGTTCATTAAAGCAGTCTTGAGTAATGGCAGTTAAAATTAATGCAGATGTCTTGAACTGTTGAGTTCAGTAGCCCTTCACAGTCAGTTCCCACAATGATGTTATCAGCACTTGCTGTTGCAACAAAGACGTTTAGAAACATAACAGATACAAACCGTAATTCTTTTTTATGAAAAAAAAGTGAAATTAATGAGGAAACTGACGTTATGTGCAAGAGTTTTGGTTCTCTGCCAATTTTCTTCCCTTCCTTGTTCCTCGACAGAAAGGGTTTGACTCCTTTTTTAAAAAAAACTTCTACAGCTCCATGTGCCAGGGACCTCTGCTCCACCTCACCCCCCCACACTTGCGTCCTTCAAGTCCCGTCCCAAGACCCTCCTCTTCGACCGTGCCTTCGGTCACCCTCCTATCCTCCACCCTTCCTGGTCCCAACCACTAGCTCGGGTGCAGATCCCTGACTGTCCAGCGCCTTGGGATGTTCTTCTGACATGAAAGACGCTATAGAAATTTAATTTGTTGTTGTTGCCTTGCTCAAACGACCATTATTTACATGCGAGGCTCAACCCCAATGAGTGCCAGCTGGCGGGTACATCACAGCCTAGCCTGAGCCCTCCTCGTCCGAGCTCGAATTTCCCAATATGCAAACAAGGAGGTCCCGGGACAGAGGAAACTCTGGTTAATTTTCTCCTCCCTAATCCTGGGATGTAAGTAGCATAATGGAAATACGTTCAAATAGGTTCACCCTAGATCTTCACTTAAAAGATGAAAAAACATTCGCTGGGACTCTGTGTGAAACAAACTGAACAGACCAGAAAAGTTTCCAGAAGGAATTTCCTTGCTTTCACCTGCTCTTTAATATCCACTTGAAAGCAGACAGGCTTTTAGTTTAACGCCTTATTTGAAAAAACGATGTTTCCAATAGCACTGTGCTGCACTGGAGTGTTGGCCTAGACCAGGGTGGTCCAACTAGCGGCCCGCAGGCTGCATCCGGCACGTGGGAAGGTTTCATCTCATCCCCCGCAGTTCCACCCATTTTATCTGGCCCACCCGCTCCCTCCATAACCCATAAATGCTATGTTTCTGGAAGAGAAACACAAAATTATTGGTTATACAGCCTACCAACGTTTCTCAAATAGGGCATCTGGCGCCTCAGCAGCCAAAAGGTTGGACCATCCTGGCCTAGACTATGAGCTCAATATTTGGCACGACCTTACAAACCAGAGGTGAGAAAGTGCCACCAAGTGAGCAAGGCTAATATTCAACACAATTGGTCTCAGAAACCCTCAATTAGACGGGGCAGAGTTGCCCTGTGCTGACCATTATCCAGTGACTTTATCCTGGAAGTCAAATGCTGGGCAAGGACTGGATCAGTCTCAGCTTCATAACCACACAGCCTGGTGATGCTCAGCTTTGGAGTTTCACAAGTGACCACAAGGGAGAGTGGCCAGGGACCTGGAACTGACCCAGAACAAAGCCTTTGGGAAAGGTAGGGAGAAAATTGAAGCAATTTGTTTACGAAAATAAAAACGCTGTTTGAACTCTGATCACAGGCAATCGTTTGCCTTCGATTTTTGCCAACTATTTGCTAAACTTATTGAAGACTGTTTGGGGAATAAAAACCTAAACTGTCTGCAATTAGTCTGGAAAAAATAGACCAATCCCACGGACGCTAATAACAAGAAGCAGATGCATTGCAAAGAAATGCACTCGGCCAATGTTTCCCCTGCCTCCCCCGCCCAAAGCACAGCTGATGAATGTGCTTGGGATGGGAAGTAGAGGATGTGCACTCAGTGAATTTCATCAAGGAGTGAAATATTAGCAGAGAATTCAAAATGTAACACGACGGGGACTCATTTAATAAAATATCCTTGCAATTTGATGGCTGTATGTGCGAACCATTAATGGCACACTTACATTAACTTCGGAGTTCTTTCTCCATTCACCAGAACACTTTCTATTAATATCGTATAATGCTAATTTTTAAAAACGGGATCACATGCCAAAAGCAGTGCAGCCATAGTGTAAATTGGCTTATAACGCAATTGCACTGTGGACCCGATCATTGCTCGTACGGGTCAGCCAACTTTCCGTATTAAAGCAGCAGACTTCTGTGTCACACCTGAGTTTACCCTTTGTCGGGCACATGCAAAAGCAGGAAGTGTCCCAGACGACTACCACTTCTAGCGCTAAAAACAAGCCAATTTCTGGTTCATCGAGTCATCATCAATGTCACTTCCTACTTTGAGCATATGCAGAAAACAGTAAGTGTTGTTGGCGGTAACCACATTTTTCAGCCAAAGCCCATTCTAGATTTCTTCTCATTTTATACCTTTAAGAAATGTTTTCTGGTTCTTTGTTTAATTGGCTCATCTCTAAGTTTAGAATTACAGTTCCCTTGTTGCGAATTTGCCTATCAGAAGAAAAAATATCTTCCACCTCCCAATTAGATCACCCCTTAAGTTATCTATCCAGGGAATACAATCCAAGTTTACCCAGCTCCTGATTTATCAAATTCAATCAGAATTGATGAAAATATGAACGGTCAAATGGACACACATGACCAATAAAGGTCAGAACTTAATTCCTATTGCCTTGCCCATGCCCTCCACTCTTCCCAACTGGTTTACTGCTCATTCCTTAGCGTCCAAGCCTTCAGCCACAAGATTCCCGCTCTTTGCAACTTCTCTCCAAAATCTAATCATCTTGCTCTTTCTCTTTGTGCCTTCAAAATCCTCTTTGAATGTGCATTGGGTCAAATTTTACCCGGAGTAACTGGATTTTTGTCTGAATCAACCAGCATATTTACACCAGGTAAGAATACAAATGAACCGGGGGCTGGGCATTTTGTTCCATTTACCCGACGTCCAGGATTAACCGACATCTGGCAAAAGTGGATTCCACTGATTATGGGTAGTGATGAGGGCACAAGTTTCTATTCACAATATCATTGTAAATAACTTTGCCACAAAAAAAACGCCCATCATTGCGAGAGGTTCAAAGGAACACAACACTTAACCCTGGGGTAAAGTGGGTGAACTGTCAAGAAAGATTAGAGGAACAAGTCTGGAAAGAAGGTGGTTAAAAATGGAATCTTACTGCAATATTGGATGCAGTAGATGAGCTAAATTCAGGTCACATTATCAAAATATATGCCAAGGAATATAGGCCTAAAATATAGGCCTAAAGGAAATAAATGCAAATTAGTAAAAAAATACATTCAGAACAGCAACTAAAGAAAAGTGCCCACTCAAGATTTATAAATGTTTGGAATAATCGAACAAGCAAGATTTTGTTCAGCTACAAAATAAACAGTGACTGCATTTCACAATAAATTCTGTGAAGTGTTTTGTGACTCCCCCCACCTCTCCCCCATCCTCGCCTGACTCCACTGGCTTTCCATCACACAGAGGATACAGTTCAAGATGCTGGTCTTCACTTTTAAAACCCTCCATGGTGTTGCTCCCCTTACCTATGCGACCTCCTAACCCCCTACCAACCTGCCCACTCCCTCCCCTCAGTGGGCTCTGGCCTACTTCACATCCCCTGCCTAGCCCACCCCACTAATGGCGGGTGGGGCTTCAGCCTCTCTGTCCCACCCTCTGGAAATCCATCCCTCATCCCCTCCATCAAGACTGGTCTCAAGTCCAGTCTTTGACCATGCCTTCAGTCACCCTCCCCGAACCCCAGCACGAGTCCAAAATATTGATTGTCCAGCACCTTGGGATGTCTTCCCGATGGTAAAAGCGCTACACAAATGTAATTTTGTTGTTGTTGAAGGATGCAGGGGAGGGGGCGAGGTGAAGGTGAAAATGGGATGGAGTCCCAGAGGGACAAAACCCAGTTGGGCTGAATAGGCTTTTGTCACCCTGACTTTCCTGATATTCTTATGATTGACTAAATTCAAAGCAATTTTATGCTCAATTGACTGGAATTCTGGTTGATGGGAGTTCAAACTTTAATGAGAGGGGGTAATAAATGGATGGGGGGGAGCAGAAGAGGGCAATTGATTTGGAACGATTCAATCCTTCGGGATACATCTTATGCTGACCTGAAGGAACTCAATATAATTTATGATTTTTACTGATACAGCCCAGTGATGCCCAAAGTGTGATTGATCCTCCCAGTGTGTGATAACCTCTGATAACAGTACCTCCTAATAACATATATAGTTTGTGTGGTGTGATGGCCATCATGTGAGAGATCCCATGTATAGACCACAGTGAATGCCTAGCCATTCTGCCCTCACTCTCTGGAACTCCATCTCAGAGTCCTTCTGCCTTGCTCCCTCCTTCCCCATCTTCAAAAGCTGCCTTAAAACAATAATAAATTGGTCATTTTCAATCTACGACTGTTTGTGGGACATTGCTGTGCGCAATTGGCTGCCGCGTTCGCCCACAAATATACAGTCAATTCACTTTACAGTGTGTTCTGTGAAGCGCTTTGGGACGTCCTCCCGACGTGAAAAGCGCTATATCAAATGCAAGGATTATTAAGACCCATCTTTCTGACTGCACCTTTGGTCACCCTCTCACCTCCTTCTCCCCCCCAGCCCCGTGCCCCCCAGCTCAGGCTTCCAGTCAGCTGTGCGAAGAGTTTTGATGTCCTCCCAACAGAAAAGGCGCTGTAGAAATGTAATTGCTGTCATTTAGATAAGCCTCAATGATGGTCCATTTTGCACATTCAACAATAAAACAGACAACACGAGTAGAATCGCGGAGCACTATCCCTAGTTCCTTGAATGTTTGTTCAATTCTGGACTAAAATAAGCAGACACTTTGGTTTTGAAAGAAATCCAATTATTGTACTAGGTTTTCCAAAACAAAAGAAGAAGGATTATGACTTACTGCCCACACAGGAGATGTAAAGCCAAGGATAGCTGCTTGTGTTCCATCTGCCACATATGGAATAACGCTTTCACTTAATCTGGTGTCTCTGAACAATGCTCGCAAGACATTCAGAGCGTGAACCTGCCAAAAATATAAAGATTGTGCGTAAGCAGCTACTTGTGAAAGACATAAAATATTGGAAATTCTGAGGAATATAGCAGTTTTTTTTGCAATCAAAATATTTCCAATGCAGATCCTCAATTCCTTTGTAAGTTTATGACTGCACTCGGGGGCGTTTGCTATGTTGGCAGGGTCCTCGTGAATCTCCAGTTCATGTTCCAGAGCCGCTAGGTGTTCGCTGACAGGTTCAGTCACACCGAAGGGACACAGCCAGAGGCAAAGCCGACGTGGAAGCTACTGCTTCCAAGCAATGGTTTTATTTAATTTTAAGACTCTGAACTGGTGCCAGGAGGTTGAGTAGAGGTGCCACGTGAAGCAAGCCTCTCCACTTTTTTCTAAACCCAGGAAGTGCTGGATGATCCGAAACTCCATAATAATTCACAATTCCATAATAATAACACTTGGATTTGGTATAGGCCTTATTACATCTTTGAGACGTCTCAAAGCACTTCACAGGATATACTGTAAAGTGAATTGACCGTATACTTTGTGGGCGAAACGCAGCAGTCAATTGCGCACAGCAGCATCCCACAATTATGGATTGAGTGACCAAATTTTTTTTTTTTTTTTTTAAGAGATTATTACCCCCAGAAAGCCAATCAACTACACAACTGGATTCCTACTTACTGCTAGGTGAACGGAGTTATGTGGAATAAGGAAACATGCCTAACGTTTCGCCCTGTCCAGGAATCAAGCCTGGGTCCTCTTGCTTGCAAGGTGAGTGCTCTAACCACTACGCTGCAGGACTCCACAATTCTAAAGCCCGGCAGCTTTCTCGCTGAAACCTCTTATGAATCAAATGGCTACATTATACCACAGCCATGGCATCAAGTCTTTGCTACCACACTTTTGATTGTAGAGGGCACAATTTATAAAGCTGCAGCAGTCATTTTGCACACAGTAATGTTCCACAAGACAGACAGAAGGTGAATGACTAATTTTATCTGAGGACCACGACACTGGAAGAAACATACTTCTCTTTTTCAATAATGGCATTATATCTTTGAACACTCAGCCAGACAGGCAGGTGGGACCTCAGTTTCACTTGTTGCTGAAGGACAGCACCTCCAGCAATGTAGCACTCCACCACTAGCTCATGAGCTCAAAGTCCTGATGTGCAGCTAGAACCAACAATATTCTGACTCAGAGGCAAGACTTCTACCAACTAAGGCAAGCTTGACACCTTAAAAAATCTAATAATAATCCATGCAGGTGATACAGGGTCCATGACATTGAAACATCTTAAAGGGCTCAGCAGGTAACTTGTACCAAGACTAGTGACTACATTTCCAGACAGCCAATTTTCCCGTGCAAGACATTAAAAAATTAAAGTGATAGAGCCCTGTTATAAATACACCACTGATTCTCCCAAAGGTTCATTAAATCAAGTACTTGTACACAGACACCCGAGTTTCTTTTGAAAGTCTTTGCCTTTTTTTTTGAAAGTCTCTGGTTTCTGCCAGGCACCAGAAATGTTTTGTCCATATCTTCTTGTCAATTACACTGACGCTAATCAATTTCAGGTCCTTCAAGCAGAGAAAACATGCTGGGAACCAGTCAAACAGACACAGGTAATTTTTTTAAAAAAATGATTAACAAAGCTTTCCTTTAGACTCTGGGATCTTTGTTGTTCTCAATTAAACCAAGAATCGTGGTTGAGGATGAGGCTTTATTTAAATAGATAAAAAAAGGACAATACTAATAAAGGAAAGCTTGTGCAATAATAATCCTTGCATTTGATGTAGCGCCTTATCACATCTTCGAGACGTCTCAAAGCACTTCACAGCGTACGCTGTAAAAATGTATTGACTGTATATTTTTTAGGCAAAACAAAGCTAGTTGCTGTGCTTGGGTAATAGTGCCAGAAACCTTTGCAGCCTGCTGAAACTGAAATAATATTTAACACGTTAGCAAACAGTGAAAGGGAAATATTTAATGTGGCTCCACAGAGCAAACACAAAGCAAATGTGTCATGTCAGGTCTGTGCTGAGGGAGAGCCACCCTCCCCACCACCAGCATCAAAATGAATGTTCGGTCACAGTTTTGACATTTTTACCAATTCTGTGGTACCCCTGTTAAAAAGCATATCACAGAATGACTCAAAATACTGTAACCCATTTTCTACACTAGAAAGGGAGCTCTGAATTCACTGCTAAATGAGCCTCATTGTTGAATTATAATCTGCAAACCCTCACCACTTGCACATTCAAAATCACTTACTATGTAAAGGCTGGTTAATATTTAACAGCATAGCTTTTTGAGCGTACCAAACAAGCTCGACCATTTAATGAAAAAAATCAAGTTACACACAAGTGCCAGAGTGAATGAAAGAGCAAAGGACACTATGAGCTGCAGTGATCTACGAATAACACTGCATTATGACTTAGTCTACCTCAGAAACAAAAAAAAACCTTACATTTGCCTTCACAAGAGAGATACGGATGAAGAAGCCCCTTCGACCCATTTGATCTCATTCTTCCATAATAAAAATAAATTGGTCACTTGGATCCACAACTGTTTGTGGGACACTGCTGTGTGCAATTGGCTGCTGTGTTTTGCCCATAAAATATACAGTCAATTCACTTTACAGTTTTTTTCAAAGACATGATAAGGCGCTATATCAAATGCAATGATTATCATTACATACCCACCCTTTGGAATACTGCATAAAGTCAGCTGAACAGCACTTGGAAAGAATGCAATGGGAAAGCCAGAGCCTCTCTATCTCTGCTTATCTACTACCTGTGGGATGGTGCTGGCATCATCTTGGCACATTTCTGATGGCAAGGCCAATGGCATCAGCTCCTTCATTGTCATTTTCAGAAGACCCAAGTTGGAGCCCTTTGGTTCAGAAGATACTAACGCCTGGGAGAGGAGGAATAATTAATCAATCAATGGATTAATCAAAGGATTATTATTATATTTTATTCAACAAGATTTCATTTTGAATAAAAAAAATTCAGGTCCATGAAATCATTCAAAAATCTAATTTAATCAAATGATTGCAGGAACCCATCGTTATGCTTAAGAATATCAAACCAGACTTGCTAGTTCCGTGCATGTCACCTACACATGGAAATTTCCATGTCTGTAATGGAACACGCACTCTTTCCCTTGGAGGGATTCACCTTGCTATCCTAATTCCGAAGAATATCAGGTTATTCAACCACAAAGTCTCATTGGGGTACTGCTGCAGTTTAAACCAGTTAAAACCTTGCTATTTAAGTACACTGTGTCAAGCTTTCCTCATTGCTTGTCAAACAAGGACATCCTACTCAATGGCACTTTGGCTTGCAAGGTAAACAACGTTTGTATAGCACCTTTCACATCAGGTGGACGTTCCAAAGCACTGGGACACTTTGGGACGTAATTTGATTGATTAAACAGGAACCAAATTAGACAAATTCCTGCTTCTTGTGACCAGTCTTTCCCTGCAAGTCCTGCTCGTGGCTGGTCAGTCATTAGCAGTGCCCTGGAGATTACAGACCTGCCTGGAACTGAACTACCAAGAACACCCCGCTGGGGTTGATTTGATTCTGACATTCTGTTACCAATCAGATCACCCTGGAGTCAATTCAGCTCGACTCCACACCCCAACACCCCACCCTCGATCAATGGGAAAAGAGGGATATAGGAGGGGGGGAAATAAAGGATAGGGGATTGCAAGATCTGCCATGGTTCAATAAAATGGTAGAGCGGGCTTGACAGGCTGAATGGCCTTCTTCTGTTCCTATTCCTCAGAGAGGCAGTGACAACCAAGAAGGTGTGAGCAATAGTGTATTCCCCGTCAAAATACCTGAATATAAAATGGAATCCCAGCGCTTCGTCGAGTGGCACAAAGCTTCGAGGCTGGGTCACTGGATTTGATTTCCTGCAGAACATCTTCTAACCAGCACTGAGGTAACTTCTGCAAACTCCTGTTATTGCAGCTGGAGGGTGGGGCGAGGCAAGAGAGAAAACATAAAGAGAATGGGTTTTGTCATGCTCTATAACAAACAATGATTCTGCTCTCACAACCTTCTTTGCCCCTCAGAAGAAAGAGAATCACCAGGACATTGCCAGGTGTACAACGTTCATTTTCATTACAGTACAGGTGAGGCAGTGATTTCAGTGTACTCCTGACCGGAAATTACAACCATTAGTTTCGGTTGCTTGTCTGCTATTTACATTTGAATTTCTCTCCCCTTCACCAGTGTGAAACTCGGCAATCTTCACCTGGCCACGTTAGGAGGAGGAAAACTTGCAGGGTTGATGGAGTGGTCAGTTCCACTCCTGATGAGATAGCTAGAGGTGGAGCAAAGGTCAGCATTGATGGGGCTCTGAGGCCGATTATCGTGTTTTTAAACCAATTTGAGGAGGAAAGCATGATTGCAAGAGAGAGAAAAATCATTTTATTTTATTGAAGAAAATCCAATAAATATCAATGTAAATCCAATTTCAGATAATAATAATAATAATCCTTGCATTTAATATAGCGCCTTATCACGTCTTTGAGATGTCTCAAAGCGCTTCACAGAAAAAACTGTAAAGTGATATACTGTGAAACTCGTGTGACTGTGTATTTTGGGGGACAAAATAGATCAAGACAAAAGATGCATTTAACTTTAAACAATAACATCAGGACCAGGATGGAATGAATATTAACTGGATTAAGCACCCTGCATGGAGAAATAAAAGAGGCAAGTCAGTATGGTATCCACTGTACTGTTATAAACAAGTTCCAGCTCAGGAAGATAATTATGTCTACAGTATAAAATTACATTTACATAGCGCCTTTCATTTCGGAAAGACGTCCAAGGCACAATGCCAAACACACCTTCATTGGTTTTGGGTTTAAGCCACTGAAAGGAATGATCTCTTCACATCCCTCCTAAAAATAAGCTTCTTTATGGAGAAAGTCGCTATTCAAAAAGAAAAGGGAGTTTCAATCGATGCATATGGCCAACAGTCCTCCAGATGAATTGATCAGTCACTTCAGGGCTGTTTGTGGGACATTACTGTGCACAGGTTGGCTGCCTCGTTCATCTACAAACAAGGTCACTACATTTTACAAAAAACTTTTGAAGGACTTTGAGAGGTTTCCAGCAATACAAGGGGGTAAATCAAAATGTAAGGATTATTATTATATTATTTATGATATAATTCTGGACATCTAAACTCACCCAATGCTCCTCAGTGAGTATCACCTAGCAATTCTTTGTCAACGAGACTATGATTAGATTTAACTAAGAAATATGAGGCTCTGGAGAACCATTAGAATAATTTACCTGGTAAGCATTTCGGTGAGCTTCACAAATCCAACATACGCAAGCTCAAACGCACCTCTGTGTCTCGACTGTAGAAGTTGTCGTTTAAAGTATACTCCAATGTCTTCAATCTGAGGAGCAAGAAAAAAAAAAGCAAAGCTTCCAAATAATTCTTTCATAATGAATGATGGAAACCTACGCCATTTATTCAAGTTGTGCGTGCCTAAATGTTTCCTTTCCAGGATAACAAAATGATAAATAAAAGAAGCAAGCTACAGGGGGCTGGGGAAAGGGCAGGTAAATGGGACTGAAAGGGTTGCTCTTAAAAGTGCCAGAACAGACACGATGGGCACAATGGTTTTCTTCTGTGTTGTAAATTTCTATGGTTCTATGATTGATGCACCACCTAAAATCTTCACATTGCTTCAGTTTGTAGTCTCTACTTTGAGGTTCTTTGAGATTGAGTGAGATACTGATACAGTGCCAGTGATGCCATCCTTTGGATGAGCCACTCTCTGATGAGCCAGGTCGTATCTCTTCTGTCTGATCAGGTGATGACTGAAGATCTATGATAAAATTTACAAAGAATAAAGGGTTTTTCCTGGTGTCCTTGCCTGTTGGTGGGAGCTTGCTGTGTGCAAAAGGCGACAAATACAGTCACTACACTTGACAGCAATTTGCTCTGAAGCACTTTCGGATGCACTGTATCAAATGCAGATTAACAACACTACAGCAAACAGTAAGGTCAGTGCAGTCTGACAAGCAATGATAAACATGGTTCCACGTATGTGTTTTTTAAAAAAAGGAATTAGTAACAATGCAGTGTCGAACACGTACCATTTGTTGATACCGGACCTTCTTTTGTGTAATGGATTTTTCTTCATAAGCATGGAGCTGAAAATTTGCCCTCCCCTCACCCTGACCATTTCCCCCCTCCTCGCTCCCTCCCTTCCCTCCCCTCACCCTGACCATTTCCCCCCTCCTTGCTCCCTCCCTTCCCTCCCCTCACCATTTCCCCCCTCCTTGCTCCCTAACTTCCCTCCCCTCACCCTGACCATTTCCCCCCTGCTCGGGTCCTGACCCAACTGTGCAGCGCCTTGGGACGTCCTCCTGACGTGAAAGGCGCTTTATAAATGGAATCTTGTTGTTGTTGTTGTTCATACAGCAAATACATTTGTTATCTGAAATAACAGTTCAATTTATTCACGCTACTGCCCTCCCTGACCCAGCTGGATTCTGTTTCCCTTCAGCTAGTCTCTGAAGTCAGGCACATCGATACTCCTGACAGTGAGTCTGACGCACATCTCACTGTATCATGCTCTGCCTGGGTCAGGCTGCGGGAGGGATGGAACACACCAGCACACAGTCCTCAGACCACACACATTCAAAGTAGCACCTCTGCTTGTGGGTGAAGGGGTTGGGGGGGGGGGGGAAGAAAAGTGCTGTTTTACTTCCAATTAATTTCTACTTAAAACCTTGCATCTGACAGATTGTTAGTGGTAGATTCACATTATTAATGATCCCGCCAGTAAAAGCAGGGTTAATAGGCATCCTGCTCCGATAGCTTGATTAACTCAAAGTGCAGAAATGCACGAGGATTAAAATTGAAAGCACCACATGGTGGGATAGGGGTTGGACAAGAACATGTAACAGAGAGCTCCGTGACTTGCATTTGAACCCGGTTAAAACAAAGAGATTAAGCGCTCTCTCTCTCTGGTGGCAGCTACGAACACTGAAAGGAGTTTTCAAATAATCATTTCAAATAATGTCATGGGATCTTTCAAGTCCAACAGAAAACAGGCAGAGGGGACCTCAGATTAACATCTCATCTGAAAGACGACATCTCCGTCAATGAATTACCAGCTTTTATATAAAAAAAATCTAGAATCACCATAACTTTGCCCACCACAAACATTCCAGCACCCACTTTCTCAAAATAGAGCTTTATCAAGTCTTTGAGACATCTCAAAGTGCTTCACAGAATATATTGTAAAGTGGATTGACTTTGTACTTTGTGGGTGAAACTCTGCAGCCAATTGCGCACAACAGTGTCCCACAAAAGCCGTGAATTGAGTGACTTTTTTTTGGAAGGATTATTATCCCCAGAAAACAATCTGCCAATCGACTAACAACTAGGTTCTTACTTACAGCTAGGTAAACAGAGGTGTGGAGTAAAGAAACTTGCCTAAAGTTTTGACCCACCTGGGAATCAAAATCAAGTCCTCTTGCTTACGAGGCGAGCGCTCTAATCATTACGCTACAGGATTTATGGTTGAAGGTCATGGTCGATGTTCTGCTTTCACACTCTTTCATTTCTTGCACTGACAAAAGGTCCAAAAAGTCTATCAAAACAGTGGGAGAGCAAAACAGCCTTTTCCTGAGCTTTGGCAATGATAATTTTTTTCCCACAATTATTTTCTTTAAAGTAAATTTGCTATCCAGTTTGGTAGCCATTTCAGTTACGGACTGCAGGCTGCTTTTAGCACAGGGATCTCCAGTTCGTGATCACTGTATTTTCAACCCCCAAATCTATCGTTTTTTTAAAAAAACACACAAATCCCATCCAGATTGCAAGGATAGAGGAATGCTGAGAGCATTTTGTAAGGGGTGAAGGGGGCACGTATCCAAATCTCCTGTTTTATGGATTCCAGAGCGTGAAATAAGGAACATCTTTTCACCCCAAATCTCTATTGAAGTTGCCGCGTTAAAGTGGTTTTAGGTTGGAGCCATAAAGCACACATGAAAGCAAGATGGCAATATTCCAGAAGGAGCAGCAATTGATCATGGGTTCTATTAAAATGTTTGCTCAATTGTACCAGTTACCGGCTTCAACACCCAAGATTAATTTCAACAGTCCGCAATATATCAGGTCAACTAACTTGAATATAACATTAGTTGCACTAGAGAATCCAGCATATCCGCTAATTGGGATAGGCCCCATCGCAGATATGAAAGACATGCAGATAATTTGTCTCTCTGTTGCGTGTGTACGTGTATATGTGTCTCCCTCTCTATTTCTCTCTCTCTTGTCTTGTACATATCTGAATCGGATTTTTCTCCCTCTCCCTGCTTGGTAACAGTACCGCTCCATTAAAATCACGGCGCTAGATTTCTCAAGCACAATTTAAAAGAGAAACATTTACAACTTTGCAGCCTGACTCGACTTCCACATCAGAGGTGATGTCAGGCCAACTGTATAACAAATGGAATCCTGCTGCACCGGAGCATTTAATGGCACTTGTCCAGCTACTGTCACGCCAACAATCCACTCCTCTAAGTCTCACTGATGAGCCAAACAGATGCCTACAGCCCGGCCTGACTTAAGCCAGGTGAGTGTGCTCCCAGTTTAGTTCAATCCCCAATCTTAGTATTAAACGGGAAACAGAGGGGAATATTGGAGTGGACCAGAAAGGACCATTGTAATCTAAGTGCTGTCCTTAAAACAAAAGTTAAACAAAAGTCCCGTCTGTCCTTCTGGGTGGACGGGAAAGATTCCTTGGCACAATTTGAAAAGAGAAGGGAGTTTCTCCTAGAGTCCTGGCCAATAATCTCCTAGATAAAAATCAGTCATTCACTTCATGGCTGTTTGTGGGAAGATGCTGTGCGCAAATTGGCTGTTTATTCGCCTACAGAATATACAACCATTGCACTCTACAGTAAGCCCTGTGAAGCACTTTGAGATGTCTCGATGACATGATAAGGCTCTATATCAAATGCAAATATAACTGCACATCTGCAAGTACTTTGAAGCTTCATGTTACCACTGGTACGACAGTTTAAACAAACACAATTAAATAATAAAATGTAACTCAATCCTGGATAATTCCACACACAGAAGACATTCTATTGGAATAGCAAAGCAATCCTTGCATCCGGTATTGTTAAACAATTTACAGGCAGCAGAAATACACAGGAAATAGTAGATGGCAGGCAAGATCTTGTGACTCTAAAATTCAATCCAGAGGTTCCAATTGCATTCTAAACTAAGAGAAAAACATCAGGAAAAAGTTTGGGTTAGTAAGGGACTGCTTTCTCTCCACTCAGTTAAATTAACACCCTCCATAACTCCCTCTACATCTTCCGGACCCTTCACCTAAAATGCCTCCAACATTTAAACAACAAGAAAAACTGCAGCTCTGTTGGGGCCTCTGTGGAAACGGAGTTAGGCCAGGAATGATGAAAGTTTAAGTGGTGTGGCAAGGACATTAACAACAGGGTACAAACAGCTGATGAAAGAGCAGCCAGAGAGCCAGTTTCATCACGTGTTGAAAAAAAATCTTTGCGAAAAAAAAGTGCTCTATGGTTCCGCTCCACCATTTATCACAGGGTTTTACCCGTCTCATTTATTTTTTGAGTGACTAAATGGACAAAGGTACCATCGAGTGCAAGACTATGCCGCACCTAAAGCCTGTCCACTCCCAGCCTCCGTTCATTGTTCCCCCTCAACCCCCTGTCTCCAGCCATCCCCTCCATAGTCGCCAGCCACCTTTCCACACGCACAGCCACCAACCAGTCCACACCAGCCTCCAAGAAAAGCATCAGAACAGTCCGACCGATGAAGCACAAAGAGACAGTTTGTCACTCAATGCACAGGACAAAAAAGTACTGAATATCGTTACAAGGAACTGCTCAAAAACAGATAATGAAAAGTACCTGGGGAACTGTCAGTAGTCCATCCTCGGAGTCAGACGATGACTGGAGCGGCAAGTTCTGACACAACAATCCCAGGAGCAAAGAGATTTCTTTCATACTTCTCCAGCAACACACCAGAACCATTTGGGCAGTGACCTGGAAAGCTTGGCCGGTCTGATCTGCGTTCAATAAATAAAGAGATCACAATATGAAGGGTGACACTTACCACAACGATGGTCATTCATTTCATGATTGTCTGCACACAGGTTGGTTGGCAGTACTGACAAGTTTTGCGAGTTTATTGCACAAGTTTCCGATGATAATTAAAAGCTTTTTTGGGGGTTGGTACTCAACTTTTACTCTTCACAGTCGTGTCCAACATTACATTGGACACGACAAGCAGGGTTCTGGATTGTGATTAGGAAGGAGCAGGTTGATTTTGTAAAGAAATGAGAGATTTGGTGAAATTACAGAGATCAGAAAACTAAAAGCCCTGAAATATCCCAATATCACAGATCACACTGGCTAATTTTTTTTTAAACTTTAGTAAATAGATTATAATCCTTGCATTTGATGTAGGACTTTTCATGTTGGGAGGACATTGCAAAATGCTTCACAAGATTTAATAATACGCCTTACATCGGGTATAGAGCCTTTCACATCAAGGAGGCATCTCACAGCACTTCACTGGGTTTTACTGTGAGATCCATTGATTGTTTCTTTTGTGCACAAACACAGCAGCCACATTTTGTACATAGTTTCGTACCACAAATAGCCATGAAGTGAATGCTGAATTTTATTTGGGGGATAGTTGTCCAGTACCTTGGAAGAAACTCCCTTCTCTTTTTGAATAGTGCCGTGGGATCTTTAACATCCACCTGAACAGGCAGACTTGGTTTAATATCTCATCCGAAACATGGCACCTCCAACAGTGCAGCACACCATCAGCAATATATTGGGAGTTTCAGCTCAGACTATAAGAGTTCCAAGTCCCAACATGGAGCTTGAACTTGCAACCTTCTTACTCAGTGGAGGGAGTGGTATCAACTAAACGTGGCTGACACTGGCAGACTGTTGAGTTAGGTTTTTTTTCTTGAATGAGTGAATTTCATAGATGGTTCACACATAAAAATTCTTAATGAGAAAACCTGGAGCCACAATTTAAACGTACGACAACACCACTCGCTGGCTCACAGTTAGGATTGTAGAGCTCAATTAGGAGTCCTGTAGCTCAGTGGTTAGAGCACTCGCTTTGCAAGCGAGAGACCTGGGTTCAATTCCAGGCAGAGGGCGAAACCTTGGGCAAGTTTCCTTACTCCACACGCCTAATAATAATCCCTCCAAAACCAAAAACAATAATAAATTGGTCATTTTCAATCTACGACTGTTTGTGGGACATTGCTGTGCGCAATTGGCTGCCGCGTTCGCCCACAAATATACAGTCAATTCACTTTACAGTGTGTTCTGTGAAGCGCTTTGGGACGTCCTCCCGACGTGAAAAGCGCTATATCAAATGCAAGGATTATTATTATTATATTATTATAAATGCAAATTTTGTAATAATTCAATTCCTAAACAAAGCTTTTGAAAAACAATAAGAAAAATCCTATACTTGTTGACCCCAATCAAAGATCAAACATCTAATCAAGGAACACGGTGCAATTTACGTAAAAAGCAGAACATTCCCAATGCAGCTGAGTGTGCACTGAGCTCCTTCAGTCATTGAGTGAAATTGTGGACTGCTGGACATTCAGGCCAGTCTGGGTAAATTGGGGGAGCTGTAGTTCAAAAGTGTGCAACTAGATGGCGCACCATAACTGAATAAGGAGTCCACCACCAACAACACTTTTCACTATTACCTTGCGCTTCCTTCAAAGCAGATCTTGGCGCAACTACAACAAAACCCAAAGGTGGGGGAAGCCAAAAGAAGGCACTCTTAAGAATGGGGAGATTAGATTGAGATGAAAAGGAATCTAAAGCAAAGGATTCTCAATTCCCAAAGAATATCTGACAGCCCTTCACAAAGTCGGAGTGGTGAACCCAGGAGGAGATAGGCAGGTAGGCGATGCTGGCAGAATGGGCAGGCAAAGAGACAGGTTTGACGACTAGTTTTGAGAGTGGGGGCAGGGGTGAGAGATTTTACAAGGCAGAGAGATTTTAGACCTTACAGAGGGTGGAGGCAAAATGGCTGAAAGCTCATCTGCCAATGGGTAGATACATAAAGCAACAACAACAACTTGCATTTATATAGCAGCCTTCACTTAAGACGGCGTCTCGGAGCGCTTAAAGCAGGTCAGTGTTGAAGTGGAGGGAGGGGCTGGGAGAGTAGGGTAGCACAAAGATCGCAGAGGTAAGGAAGGGGAAGAACTGTGAAGGAAACTGAAAATAAACATCTTGTGGGGCCATTGCATTGTAATTCCAGAGAGAATGGATCACTGCCTTAGAGAGAGGATTGGAAATGGGAGAAAGCCAGAAGGAAAATACAGAATTAAAAAGGAATTTCCCTCTAAGGTTAGCTACGGAGTTCAAAGAGTTAAGAATGTATGATATATGTGTATATCTTGGACCACTAAGAGGCAGCGTTAGACATAAAATTCCCTTCTCTTTTCGAACAGGATCTTTATCATCCACCTGAACAGGCAGACGGGAGCTCGGTTTAACATCTCACGTGAAGGGCGGCACCTCCAACAATGCAACACCCCCCCAGTATTGCATTGGAGTATCAGCTTAGACTATATCAGTTTAAATTCTCATTGACAGGCTGGAACCCACAACTTTCTGACACAGAGACGAGAATGCTGCTAACTGAGCCAGGTTGACACATGAACTGTCTGAACTGGGAAGTCATTTGGGAATATTTCTTTCATGAATTAAAAAAAGTTTTTTTCTCAGTTACCGGTCATGGTCACGCTCAGATGCTCAGCGGGTTTGCAGTCTTCAGGTGGGATTTCACCCGACTCTTCATCCCGCTCATTTTTCAGAAGCTTCGCTTGTGCAAAATAGTCATTGTTGTCCCGGGGTTTTATTTCATTAAGAATCACATGTAGATTTGCCGCAGACTCTGTTAAAAGGGGAAAGAGAAACATTAATTTGACATAATAAATATAACGATAATAATCCTTGCATTTGATATAGCGTCTTATCACGTCTTCGAGATGTTTCAAAAGCGCTTCACAGAACATGCTGTAAAGTGAATTGACTATATTTCGGGGGGGGCGCAAAATGAACATGGGCAACATCAGATGGATGGAATATTACTAGACATTGGCATAGGCTATGGTTAGGATTAGAGAGGCCTCAGCATCCCCCACCCCCGAAATCCATCCACAGCTCACCTCTTTAAGGGGAGCTGGGTGGGAGAGTCCTTGAGCTCCAAAGACCACAGTCAGCACTCCAAGCAGCATTTACAATTTGGTTGCAGTGTCTTACCAGAGTCTGTATCCATTGGAATTAGTCCTTCTGGAGACGAGCTTTGGACAACTGGGGACACGACTGCAGACAAACGAAAAGCCACTTTTATCAGTTCTGTCACAGTCTCTCGCCATTCCGATACTTTTATTAGTGACCTGCAAAACAGATATCAAGCCATCACTGCCATTCAAGAGACCAGTAATTCAGACCTAGTAAATTTATCTAGAAAACTGTTTTGTTTCTATTGTGAGCTTATTTATTTTTCCCTTCAATTTTCTCGTTCCCTCTCCACTCTTGTCCTAGAGGCTTCTGACCGCTGTTTCTCTCCCTTCAGCTGGGCAACAATTCCACAGGTTTTGGGCACCATCCTCCAGCTCATCCACATGATCATTACTCACTTATGAACTTACTGACAAAAGAATGCTGGTAGATTATTCCACTGTAAGGCATCAGTGAAATCAGAAACCCTAGCTCTACACATTTTAAACAAGGGATCTCTGCTTAGTGACTAGAAACTGCAACCAAGACAGTTTCCCTCGCCCACCCCCTAATTTAGGAAAAACAATTGTGATGCCCCAATTAAATAATAATCCTTGCATTAGATATAGTGCCTTATCACGTTGTTGAGACTTCTCAAAGTGCTTCACAGAATATACTGTGAAGTGAATTGACTGTATATTCTGTGATCAATACACGGCAGCCAAATGCGCACAGCAGTGTCCCACAAACAGTTGTGGATTGCGTGACCAATTTTTTAATATTACATATATATTATTTAAGAGATTATTACCCCTGGAAACGTGATCCACTAATCGACTAATAAGTGAGTTCCTACTTACTGCTAGGTAAACAGAGGGGTGGAGTAAGGAAACATGCGTAACGTTTTTCCCTGCCTGTGAATTACTGTCTTAATTGAGATCAGCAAACTCAACACAGACTGCAGTAGGAACCTGCAACCTTCTGGTCTGCACGGGTTCAGTGCTCAATGTGGTTCGTATACCTACTCGATCATCTTATGTTAAAGTGCAGTTCCCACTTCATTACCATTCAATGTTAGGAAGAACCACATTTCAGAAAAGATTAAAAAAAAATTATAAAAAGTATGGTCAAAAGAAAGACCTGTGTAAAGGGAGTCAGGTTTAGTTAATGACACAAAACAGCAACATGCACTTTCACGTGGCATGAACATCTTAAATCTAAGCAACAATGTTGTTTGTCCTAAACATTTTAGCACATTTGGAATTTGTAGATTTCATATATTGGAAAGACATAGAGATAGACACACATGGGTTGTGATGGACAAGAAAAGAGAATGGACAGCGGTTGGAAATGCCTCTCACTCACAGAGTCTGGATTTGAGATTGCTCACGAGGAGTCATTTCCGTATTAAGACCAACTCACTTACTTCAGAGACAACTGCTGCAGAGCTCCAATGATGCAATGAACTCTTCCATATAAGGGATTGGAAGCCGCTGCCTGCACCAGGGATCTTTCAGCCTGTTCAATCTCAGTGGACAGGATGTTCAGCAGCACTTTGATGACTAAAATAGGTGAAAAGATCAAATACAAATTAATTGAGGTTAAACCTGAGAGACAGTTAGTAATGGTCGCTTTAAGAGTTGAGCCATTTTCTGTGCAGCATCCAAACCATGTCCCAGTCCTTATATCTGCCTGTACAACACTGGGAGTAGGCGATAGGAGCCTAAACATCTGCAGGCAATTGACCCAGTCCTCCAAAGGATTACGTTTTACACCAGAGTTCTGATTTCATAAAAAATTGGCATTGGATTTTAAGAGCATTAAATATGCAGCAAACCCACTCATCTACAAAGTATTACAATGCAACCAAAGGTTCTCTATACACAAAGTCGGTGTTATCAGCAACTTACAAGACAGAAGTTAATAATAATAATCCTTGCATTTGATATAGCGCTTTTCATGTCTTCTAGACATCCTAAAGCGCTTCACAGAATATACTGTAAAGTGAATTGACTGTATATTTGTGGGCGAACGTGGCAGTCAATTGCGCACAGCAGTGTCCCACAAACAGTCGTGGATTGAAAATGACCAATTTATTATTGCTTTTTTTTGGAGGGATTATTATTAGGCGTGTGGAGTAAGGAAACTTGCCCAAGGTTTCGCCCTGGGTTGATGGCTGCCCACAATTTTGCTGTAATCTTAATTAGCTAATAACAATTGTACAGTAATACACTTTGGAACAAGAACAAGACTTTCTTTATTAAATGATTCACAATGATGGGGTTTAGAAATTAACCTCAGATATTATCCATAATCATTTAGTTAAACTGTACTGCTGGCTTCTGTTTACTATCATTCTCTTTATAGATCTTTCTTACACCAAAGGAAACATTGGTTGGATGTGTATCTAGACTTCAGCTAAAGCAGGAGAACACCAAGAACATCAAGCCCACTCTTTCCAACAGCCACCACAGACTTTACACTCTATCTGCAAGAACCCACTTCATCTAGTGAGTTGAACAACTACAAGTAAAATTTTCAAAATAATTCCAAGAACCCTCCTATAGAGTTGCACATATGATTTCTGTGCATCTGATCTCAGAGAATTTAGCTGTCGGTTAGCAAGAACCAATGCTTGGAGACCCCAGAGAGTTTAACCAGCTATGCAATTATGAGCTGATCACACATTTCAGCAGTTAAGGAATAGAAACTGTACAATGTAACTCTGCAGCATGAGGAATTGATGGGCTTTAGATTCCTAGACTCACAATAGTCTCAGCTGGTCTTTACATTGTTTTCTACCTATCCAAACCTACTGAGCCTTCCCATTTGAAATCATGCTGCTATCCAAGCCTTTTCCGATCCTCCCGTTATACACAATGCATTCAGGAGATGTCTACACCAATTTAGTAGAACTTGGACATTGGAAGCAAATGGAACAGACCTGCCTTAGAAAGGAGTTTTGAATTGTGTGACACTGACACTGACCTGCTAAAATATTGGCTTCTAGTAACTCCTGATCGGTAGATCTTTTTCCAACAAGTTTGCTGCTCGAACCATATGTGCAGTCAGTGTTTTGCTGGTTACCAATGCAAGCATGCAGTGCTGCCTGTAACCCTTCTTGTCGTGTCAATAAAGCCAGGAGATAGGAAGCAGTGATACAGTCATAAGGTTTGGTGCTGATCATCAAATCCAGAGCTGCTTGCAAGAGAGTTTGCAATTTCTCAGTGTCCTAAAATAACATGGGGAGGAAAGAGAGTAATGTCGGGTGGGGAGGAAATGTTTAAATAATAGAAACAGTTATCATAACGGCTCCCCACCCCACAAAAAAACAGAATGTTTGAGACCCATTAAATTAGTCATTTTCAGTTATAATAATCCTTGCATTTCATATAGTGCCTTATCATGTTGTTGAGATGTTTCAAAGCGCTTCACATAATATACTGTAAAGTGAATTGACTGTATATTTTGTGGGCGAAATTCTAGACTAGTTGTTGCATTTACATCTGAAGTCAAATTGGTTGGAGTTCTGTATTGCTGACAGCTTCATATCATGGAGTCCTGTAGCCTATCGGTTAGAGCATTCGCTTCACAAGTGAAAAGACCTGGGTTTAATTCCCGGGCAGGGCGAAACATTGGTTTCCTTACTCCACATGTCTTTGTTTACCTAACAGTAAGGAACCCGGTTATTAGTCGATTGGTAGATCGCTTTTCCGGGAGTAAAATACCCTTTTAAAAAAATAATTTTATCACTCAATCCATGACTATTTGTGGGACATTTTGCCCACAAAACCCGGTCAATTCACTTTGCAGTATATCCTGTGAAGCGCTTTGAGACGCCTTGAAGACGTGATAAGGCGCTATATGAAATGCAAGGATTATTATGATTATTTTATACATAGATATATATTATATCATTTCTTTTCTTCCCCCACCCCAAACTATCTTAGACACAAAGGTACAATATTCATTTTATCAACCTTGAAAGAGTTAAATGTTGGCTGATCAGGTGGACCCAAATCTAGTGTTCAACCAGATGAGCTGTGCAGGATATTCTGTTCGGCCTTTTTAAATGAGTGTTGAAATCACACCTGATTCAACAAGAACAACTTGGGTTAATTTCGTTTTTCGAACGGGACAAATGTGGAAAGATCAGGCCTGGTTTTTCTCTTTAAAAAATAAATCTCGAATACTAAAATTCCACCGAGGACTGACTCGCCTCCAACATCTGAGGCTTATTACCTTTAATCCTAGCACTGAAGCTGGAAACCTCTTTAAAAGGTCATAAGCTAACATCTTTAACTCTTCGAAAGTGCTGGTCAGACATGCCAGCAAAGCATCTGTGTAGGTTGGCTGTAGAACATCGGTCATCTCTAGTACTCTGTATGTTTGACCTGGAGAGAGGGAGGGGGGGGAAATACAGCTCGATTCAGAACACACACGCAGGCAGATTCAGACCACAAGTGACTATCATCCTGGGAGTTAACTTTCTACTTCTTTTAAAAATCAACCTAGAGTTTAAACTCTCCCACACGAGGTTGAATCCTCCTAACTCAAAGGTGAGAGTGCTACCAATTGAGCTAAGCTGACCTGTTGAATGTATGACGTATTGAATCTAGCACTAGACGTTTCTGATATTTTCATTATTTGCTAAGAAAAAGCTATTTTAATCCCATGAAACTGGAGCGATTACATTGAAGACTGAATGTGGGGCTGCTGTGAAAGAGGAAGACGCCAGGAAACTGGACCCGAAATAGCCCAAACCTAAATTACAGCCTGGAGAGAGGAACAAAAGCTAAACTAGGATTTGGTATTTTTCATTAGTAATTATGTGCCAGGAAATAGTTTCATACAGTAGAAAACAAATCCTAAGAAAAATGTCATGGATTTTTTAATATTAAATTTAAATTGACTCCACTGTGTCCACATAATTTAAAAGCAATTACTTTGAACGTTTTATATAAAAATAAATTTGCCTGCCTTGCTTCATATACTCTCCACCAGGCTTAACATGCTGCTGCATTGCATTCCTGTCAAACTCCAACTTACCTTCTGAGCACTCAATAACTTCAGCAATTATTCCCAACAGACTCAGGACAGTGAATTTGCTGGGGTACGAGGTGCCAGGAAAGAGAGCCTGGAAGAGCAGGTCACACGTCCAGAACATAAAATGCTGGAAGACGAAACAACATGGCTCTATATAAACAAAACACAAAATACTGCAGATGCTGGAATCTGAAACAAAAACAGAGAGAGCTGGGAAAACTCAGCAGATCAGGCAGCAACTATGGAGAAAGGAAAGTAAGTCAACGTTTCGGGTCCACGACCCTTCATCAGAACTGTCGTGGACCCGAAACGTTGACTCACTTTCCTTTCTCCATAGATGCTGCCTGACCTGCTGAGTTTTCCCAGCTCTCTCTGTTTTTGTTTCATGGCTCTATATAAAATGGCTTGCTTCTGTGCTGAAAATATCAATGCTTTCCTTGAAGGGGAGCAAGACTAAACAGAAAGCTCTTGGAAAGGCACAATGGGCTAAATGACCTCCTTCTGTGCTGCAAAATTCAAAGATAGTAAGATACAGAATGGTTGCCCCTCCTCCCGACTTTCAGTAGGGATAGCGAACTGTGTCATATCAAAGCCAGGTGGGATTATGTTTGTTCATATGGAGTAAAACACTAGCACAAACTCATGAGGCAGAATGTTTTTCTTAGGTGCCCTTTGCCACCCAACACACCCAGCAACGACCAGTAAACCCCACACCGAAACACACACACAGTCCCCACAACCCCTCCTCCACGTACTATACCTGACCACCTCCCCTCACCCACCCCCCCATCCAACACACACACACAGTGATCACGTGTTAAAAATAAATGTGCCAACCACTAACTCAACAGTTTTGTACCTTGTACTGCTGAAGTTGAACAACTGGATCGTGATCAGTGGAGGTGTTTTCACGTGGAGCCCTCTTCTGTCCAACTTTGTTCTGCGTTTGTTTATGAAGCACTTGAGAACTGTCCCGCAGTCTACAGAATAACTAAGAAAATGCCATAAAAAATCCGCAGCTATATTTCAATCAAGTGAATGGCAAAAAACAATTTCTGTGCTATAACAGATCAGTTGGTATGATTTCCTGAACTCATGAAAGCGTGTGAAAATTTTGAACACAATTAACACATGGACACTCCATTTTACAGTATATCCTACAAAGCACTTTGAGATGTCTTCCCTTATGTTAAAAGGCACTTCACCAAATGAAAAAATTATTAAAATTATTATATGTAACACAATTCTACTATGTTAATAATCCTTGCATTTGATGACTGTAATGGCTATAAGCAGGCCACAAGGCGGAAGCTAACAGCTGAGTAGTAAAACAGAATCTTCACCTTACCTTCTTCATTAGCCACACAATCTGCTGCCTCGTCCCAGGGGACTGGCTGTTCAGATTATACGGGAGGAAGAATTTTATTAAAGCCATCTCCTGCGAGGACAGAGTTTGGGTACTTCGGTGAGTCTCGCAGATCAAGCCCAAGGCATCGACACGCACCTGCAGTGAGAAAGGTTGAGAGTTTTCCAATCTGTTCTCTTTAGTTTTGTTATTTACTTCTCGTTCATCCTTTCTTTGACTGTCATTTGTTTAGGTTCTGTCAGCCTCGTGATTCACGTAGATGTTCAAAGACTCCCTAGCCAATTTGTCAAAGAAATGGAAGATTCCCTCCCATAATCCTAGTTTATATTTGCTTCTCATTCAAATTTACCTCCAATTCAAATGAAATGACTTTTCATCTGATGTTTCAGGATGTTAGTAGATACAGACCGAGCTGGTGCAACTAGCGCTTTGAAAACTTTGAGACGTCTTCCCAATGTGAAAGGCACTATAGAAGTGTAAATTGTACTACATTGGAGAGAATTCACTTCACTTCTGATTAATCTTCACTTCATGGCCATTTGTGGGACATTGCTATGCTAATTGGCAGCCGAATTTACTTACATAAAAACAGTTACTACACTTTACCATAAATCCTGCGAAATGCTTTGACACCTCTTCCCTACGTGAAGAACACTAGATCAAATGCAAGTGACTTTCAAAACTCATTCTAACCGTACTCTCTGGCGCTTTTCATAGTAAATCTCCACCAGAGCCTGAACCTATATCTGCAATTAATCAAAACTTTCCAGAATTTCAGGCCAACAGTAAAACATCTCAAATGGTGAAGTGAAACGCACCTGTTCATGTTTGTGAACCAGAGCCTGCTTTACAAGGTTCACGGGCACCAGTTGGTCCCATTTCTCATCTCCGTTCCACAGCCCTCGTGCCCGTGCCGCTCTCAGGCAGGTCATCAGGGCTCCAAGCGCTCCCCTACTACTGAACGGATCTGAAACAGATACATCGAAGATTGGGTAGTTACTCTCTCTCTCCCTCTGTACAACACAATTTCAAACTCACATGGCTCCAGTCTGGGTGTGACGATAACGATACCAAAGATCACATTGAGGAAGATTTAAAAGCTAATGAAGACTTTTCACTGCACCATTCCACTGATCAGGAGGAGGTACACAAAACGGTTCTTATATAGTAACCTTATTCTCATCTCTGCTTCAGAAGGTTGGGGTGTTCAAGCTCATCACATTAACCAATCCTAATGTCCTCTCATCGCACTATCGCACTGTTTCTTCAATTAAGTCAAGCCTCCAAGCCTGAACCACTCTTGCTGATAACCCATTTCAGCCCTACCTCAAGACTCCAGTTCAGTGCAGTGAGAGCAATACATCGTCAGAGCTGCTGTCCTTCAGCTAAAAAATTAAACCAATGTTAACGTACATAAAAGATATTATGGGAGCTTTAGCATGACATGCAGTCCAGTAATCCTCCAGGTGAATTGGTCATTCACTTTACAATAACAATAACTTGCATTTATATAGTGCCCTTCAGGCCAGATGGCATCTCGGAGTGCTGTATGACTATTTGGGGGGTTTTACTGGATGCAAAAAGGCTGCTGTGTTTATCTACAGGTATACAGTCACTATCCTCGCTTTGTTACATTTTGGAATTATGGTGTAATATTAAATGCAGGGATTATGACTATATTTGTCGAAAAAGCAATGTGCACTCCAAAATGGGCACAAGGGTTTGCAGTGCAGGATTGCTACAGTGACTTTCATGTGACTTCAGACAGTAAATATCTCAGTGGGGTGTGTGGGCGGGAGGAAATTATAATAATTATCCTTACATTTTTTATAGCGCCCTTCAGGTCAGGAGGAGGTCTCAAAGCGCTTCTCAGGATGAATTGCAAAATGGAATGACTGTGAATGTTGTGGACAAAAAGAGGGGAAATAGTGCTAAAAACTGTCCTAAAACCATGAAATTTCCTTAATACTATGAGTCACATGGAGGATAAAAGGAAAGAGGAAATATTTAAACACACATATTTTAAATTGTTTTGGTTGAATACTACAGAAAGGTGGGAAGGAAGTCAGTTAGAAAGCTTGCAGAAGCCAAAATGTAACTGTATCCAAGACAATTGGAAGAATGTGTTCTAATATGCCAAGGCTGGATAGTAAAAGAGCAGAGGTTCAGGAATGCGAACGGCAAGTTCAGGACAAACACAAGGAAGTATTTCTTTACACAGAGGGCAATTAACAGTTGGAATGGGTTACCAGGAAGAGTGGTACATTCTTGGATGCTGGATTTATTTAAAGAAACCGCTCACAAAATATACAGTCAATTCACTTTACAGTATATCCTGTGAATCGCTTTGAGACTTCACGAAGATGTGATAAGACGCTATATCAAATGCAAGGATTATTAATACTATTTACCTATGGTTCTGCTTTGGCTTGAAGACCGCAGCTCTTTGATCATGTGAGTCAGGCTCTCAGGACTGCATTTGAGCAGTTTGGGCAGATAGTAATCGATTATGTACGTCGTGTGGCCGGGCTCTTCCTCGCACAGTGCAGCGAGAAACGGAGACACCCATGTTTCGTGCCATTGGTCAATCCAAGCGCTCGGCTGTGTTGAGGATAGTTGTTTCTTGTGACTGACAAACATTTTTTCCAGGAGGTCGCTTGCATAGTTGGCCAGAGACTGCTCACGCATTACCCCCAGGACTTGCTTCGGAATGGAGTCATCGACGTCCAGGATATGCTGGGTACCCAAATATTCCACCAGGCAACTGAGCGAAGCATATTTCCCTTTGACGTGCCACTCCAGATCCAACAATGTCCTGGTCATACGCACGAAGAAGGGATCCGTCATTCCGCAACAGCCGGCGGCTTTCTGGTGAATCTTCAAAACGTTTTTAAAGAGGGCTTTTGTCTGGTGCCTCACTCCATCCAGAGGATGTTCCCAGTGTGTCCACACGTATTCCAGCAGCTTCTGAACAGCTTCAGAGCTTCCGCTCAGGGAGTTTTTCAGGTGCTGGGAGCAGGAATGGGAATCGAGTGCTTCCAAGGCGCCACATGTCCATAGAGTGAGGATTCTGGAGATGGACATTGCCATGCTGGATTCCTTCAAGCTACAACAACAAAGAATTGGCAGATATAATGACTGAACAACCAATGTTAAAATACAGTGCCTCGCAACCCATATACTGCTCCACACACATCTCCACTCCTTACTCCCTCCCACAACTTTCTACTCCGATATGTATATCTTTCAATAGGTTTATCTCCCTTAAAAAAAACTGCTGTCAACTGAGTGCTGAAGTCAACTCTAACGTTAGGATATAAGAGCTTTTGGGTAAGTTCATAGTTGCTGTGTTGCGTTTCATAGTTCAGAGACCTATTCAACTTAGTTCAATGTCCACACTTGATTAATAATAATGCTTGCATTTGATATAGCATCTTATCACCTCTTTGAGATGTCTCAAAAATGCTTCACAGAATATACTATAAAGTAAATTGATTATATTTTGTGGGAGAAACATGGCAGTCAATTGTGGACAGCAGTGTCCCACAAACAATCATGGATTAAGTGATCAAATTATTATTATTTTTTTTAAAAAAGGATTATTACCCCCGGAAAGCGATCCACCAATCAACTAACAACCAGGTTCGTACTTACTGCAAGGTAAACAGAGGCTTGAGAAATAAGGAAGCTTGCCTAAAGTTTTGCTCGCGCCCGAGAATCCAACCTCTCACTTGCTAGGCAAGTGCTCCAACCAATATGCTACAGGAATCCACTCTACAGGACTAATGCTTAGAGGCTTTCCTTTGAAGTTAAACATGATGGTACTGAAATACCCCAGGTTCCATCCTTGGGCCCCTTCTTTTCCACATTTACATGCTCTCTCTCTCAGCGATGTCACCCGCAGACACAAGATTTAACTTCCACATGTACCCAAATGTACTTCTCCATCGAAGAGGAAGTATTAGAATCTTGAAGTCGATCCGTTCTATAAGAGGGAGCCAGTGGAGCCTGGCAAGGACTGGGGCGATGGGGGTTTGGAGTTTGGTGCGGGGCAGTATATGGATGGCAGGATTTTGAATTGATTGGATTTAGTGGATAGTGGAGCTAGGGAGACCGTCGAGGAGGGCATTAGAATAATCAAGGCAGGAGGTGATGAATGCCAAGCCACGCAAATGTACTTTAACACCCTCGCTTTGACAATGGCAATGATAAATTGCAAAAATATTGCAAAATTATAGGTGGAGCAGAGTTTGCCAGCACTGTTAGAACTAATTCTGGTTCTGTTGGTGTTTTTTCACATAAAATCTGTTCATCATTTTAATACAGTGCTAAAGTTCATAAGCATTGCTTTTAATAGATAAAGAAAGTAATGTATAGATTGAGAGCTACAGAGCACCACTGGCACACAACATTGGCTTACCGCGTGTTAAGTGACAGCAGAACAGTCAACATCTCCAAAAGTAGCTGTTCACCGCTTTGTTTCATTCTTCCACTTCTCCAATCCAACATTGCCAGTGTCCCCTGGCATAGGAAAAGGACTGACGCATCTGAAGGTGCTGTTCTACACAGCTCCCCACAGCTCTCAATCAGCCACTCGGGCACATCGGGAACTCTTCTCAATGTGTTAAAAAGCAGATGGTGAATCTTCAGGAAAGCAAATAATAGGTTCAGTCCAGCAGTAAAATCAATATTGAACGCATTGAATGTGGGCATGTCACAGAGCTCAGAAGACGGGTCTCTTTTCGAAGAGTGCCAGGGGATCTTTGAAGTTTATCTGAACAGATAGATGGGAAGATGGGATCTTCATTTACACCTCATCCAAATGATGACACCTCTGACAATGCAGCATTCCCCAATTACTGCACTGTGAGCTCAAAACCAGATACAGCCCTTGAACCCACAAACTCCCGATAAGAAAAAGGTAGCCACTCAGATCTATCAAGAAGTACATAGTCAGCATATACTTAATATATTAATATATTCTTTTTCTTGCAAGGTCTGCAGCTCAGTTCCAAGTGTAAACCATGCAGACTGATTTACTGTGTGTCAAATTTGCTGCATTATAAAGCAAGACATTTACCTCGGCCGAGCAAACATACTGACAACTCTTTGGACAATCTGCCCTGCCAACACTCATATTGGGACAGGAACTCAATCCTGTGTGGGATGCCATTGAATATTAGGGTAAGAAACGATCATCCGAAGCAGAATGTAATACAGACGAGGCCCCTACTTAAATGTTATTTGGTGCTAACATTAATATATAAAATTCCAATTATAAAAAATCATTGTAAGTTACTGTAGATAAAATATTAATCCTTGCATTTTGATACAATACCTATCATGTTAGGTGGACATCACAAAGTGCTTCATAGAATATATTGTAAAGTGTATTGCCTGTATGTTTTGTAGGCAAACGCGGTAGCTAATTTGCACACAGCAATGTTCCACAAACAGCCATGAAGTGAATTAACAATTTTAATTGAGGGATTGTTGGCTAGGACACTGAGAAGAACTTGTTTCTCTTTTCAAATAGTACCATGCATTCTAGCTTTTGGCAGGTGTCAGAAAAGTTAACACAGGGGCTAACTGGCTTGTGGAAGTCAAGCGTACAATATATATATAGCAAGGACTTCTCGATCTTTCGATGTCGGCTCTTCCTACCAGTGTGAAGCAGAGTTCACCAAGCGTTGGATTGTTTATCCACTAACAAGGAACGTGAGCTAGACTGTCGTGAGACAGGTTAGTTTACCCGACACACGATGTCTAGGGTAAACTCTACACCCACCCCCGGCTCGGTGTCGTGCTCCGCTACTGTCAAGCGCTCTGAGATGCTACCCTGCGTGAGGGGCACTATATAAATGCAAGTTGCTGCTGTTACATTAATCCTATTGCATGCCCCAACCCACACCTGAACATGCAAACAAGATCTGGGTGTAAATCCGAAAGGCGGCATCTCCAACAATGCAGCCCCCCCCCCACCCCGTGTTGCATTGGGGTGTCAGCCTAGACTGAGTTCAAAGTCCCAACATGGGGCTTGAACCCACAAACTTCTAACTCAAAAGGCGAGAGCACTACCAACTGAGCTGGAGTGACACACAAAATCATTTTTATGGCCAAATCCACGATCCATTAAAATCAAATTGCTTTAGCACCCGTCACACCCCAGCCCCCCCAACCTTTCCAATATAATTCAAGAGTGATAATCAGACCACCACTGTTCACGGGCTAAAACATTAAAGTTTAATCCATTCTGTTCAGGTAATATATTTGCAAATTATTAAAATAAGTCTGCCTGTCACTTTCATTACTTAACCTTACACATCAAATATTTATTTTTATTGTGGGAAAAGCATCTGTGGGGATTTGTTCAGGTCACATCCTGCTTACCACAGATTTTTTTTGTGTATCTGGGAGATAGAAAAATCTCTCTAGCGGATTCTGCTAGATAAACATTGCGCAAGTTAAAACACAAGAAGTTTGCTAGGAAAGAGCAGTTCACTTACTAGCTTTGGCAGTGCCTCATCCTGATGCACAATGGTCTTGATAAATAAAACAGCAGCCATGCCCGCTGTACTCTGAACAGCCTGTAAGAAATCACCTGCATAACAGGAAAAGGGTTTGTTATTACTTTCAATAATAAAAATCTTAGCATTTGATACAACATTCCAGAATGTCAAAATGCCTGAGAGATGTGTATGCGATAGCAATTCTGTGTTGTCAAGTGGAGTGACTGTGCATAAATCAACCATTGCAGCAGTCGATTAGTGCACAAGAAACAGCCATGAGGTGAATGAACTATTTTTTTTCTGGAGGAATTTATCTGGTCAGAAGAACAGGAGAAATTCCTTTCTCTTATTGTAACAATGCTATGGGATCTTTTAATGTCCACCCGAACAAACAGAGTGGACCTTGATTTAATATCTCATCTGAAGGATGGTAACTCTCACAATTCCCCACCGGAGTGTCAATCTGAAATGTGAGGCTTAAGTCACAATGTGTGGCTTGAACCCGCAAGCTTCAGACCAGAGGGGAAAGCACGACCAACTGATCCAAAACGGATGCCAATATAAACCAATTATAATTGTGTGGCTAGATTGAGAACAGCAACAACAATTTGCATTTATACAGTGCCCTTTATGCAGTGGTGCGGAGCGCTTAAACAGCATTCATTCAAGATGGGAAAGAAGGAGAGATCGCAACTCGTCGTCTGCAATCAGCTATTCTAAGAGGAAGTATTTAGTTTTGGGCCAGCGATATTTACATGCAGAGAATATTCTAATCTAATAGCACCATCAATCATAAGCTTACCATCAACCAGTATTTCAATAAAACACGTAAGCAGCCCGCACATCACTTCCCAGAGAGGAGGCTCGGCAGTTCCACAGAAACATCCGTGTATTTTCTCTTGAACTTTCTGAACAAGGACCATTGAAGCTTTCAGAGCCACTAGTGAATCATGCATCAGACGGTTTTGTAGAATGTGTTGCCCACCAAGACTCCTGAAGCAAAAAATATGTATTTTTTTCTAACCTCAAAATTGCAGTTTGAATGTTATTCTCTACATCGAATTTGATTATTGAACCATAAAACATTACAGCACAGAAACAGCCCTAAAATGTCTGCGCTAGTGTTTTTCTCCACCTGTTCTCCTGCTGGCTTCCTTAATGATTTCTTCTCTTCAAATGTCAAGTTTCCTTTTAAGAGGAATTAACAGTCTATGCCTCAACAATGGTTTGGGGCAAGGAATTCCACATTCCAACCACCCTCTGCGTCAAAACATTTTTCCCTAACTTCCCCTTTGGTCATTAATGCAAAGTGATGGTGACTTGTACAGATATGTGTTAGGTCAGGGTATAAAGGGATACAGGGCAAGAGCAGGTAATTGGACTTGAGATACAGATCAGCCATGATCTTACAGAATGGCGGAACAAGCTTGAGGGGCTGAATGGCCTCCTTCTGTTTCTCTCTTTTTAATGTTTTATGGTGTAGGATAGGAGTCTGTTTGGAGTTTAACACCTTGAGAAAAGGACCAATATTCATCCGGATACAAAAGGATCATGTTTAAGGTCAACTTGAGATTAAATATGCAGTCATTTAACATCCTATTTCCTGTATTACCACGTTACCCATTGACTATTCACTAGGAGAGTAGATTCATAACTGCAAAATCTTTTTCTTTTGAATGTTCGGTAGCAAAACAGTAAAGATTGTATTTGGTACTTTTGAACTTGGCATGGTCAGCCTGAGATAATTGTCTGGTCTGTCTTAGGAAATTGTTGGCTCCCTTTTCTTTTTGAATAGTCATAGGATCTTTGCATTAATGATCAAAGTGCAATTCAGGAAAAAAAATGTTTTGACACAGAGCATGGTTGGAATGTGGAATTCATTGCCACAAACCATTGCTGAGGCATAGTTAACTCTTTTCTAAAGGAAATTTGATGCTTGAAGACGAGAAATCATTAAGGTGTAGAGAGCATTCAGCTTACTTCAAATGTCAAATCCTCCGTGCATTTGCCTTTCATTCCTCTTGCAGGGCAAGATTTATCCCAGCTTCTCAGCTGCTCTTTTGGACTCAGATGTTGTTCTGCACTATGGGCTTTGCACCTTCACTCAATTTCTCAAAAAATAAGAATTCCAATATCATATCACTACCAATATTAATGCACTGTAATAACCAAAATTCACCCATTATGCAAAATTCTTGTAAGTGGGTGGAGGGGATCTTTGTTTAATGAAAACACAAAATGTAACTTCTGATTACATTGCAAATATTTTATTGTTAAACATTGTATTTGCAAGCAGAAGAGAAGAGGCAGAAATACTTACTTATTTTGCAATTTAAAATCCACCAATGTTTTATGAAGAAACTGAAGAACTACAATGGAAAGCAGAATTAGTTACAAAGGGTACACAATCCTAATTTTCCCCAAATTAGTCTGGTTCACGAACTGAAAATCTGAAAAAAGAGAAAGAGGCATGAAGCATTGTGTCATTCCTAACAAGGTTGATCAAAATCATCTTGCCTTACGACCTCAGGTGAAGGATGGTCAGTGTTGCCTGCAGTTTACCTCAAGACCTTGTATTTGACAACCATTCAAAACAGAACATTTTTAAAACTACAACAATAACTTGCACTTATATAGTGTTCTCCACACCGGGTGGCGTCTCAGAGCACTTAACAAGCGACTTTGTAGTATAAAATCAGATCTCATGGTTTGTGATTGAATAATAAAAATCAAAAAGTAATTTATTGGATTGTTATTTCCAGCCCAGACAACAGCACGGAAGTTAACTGAAGAGAGTAAGTTATTGAATTGCTATTCATTGGTCAATTAGAGTGGCTTTAATTATACAAAAAAGTGCACTCTCCAGGTTCTAAAGGTATGAAGGATCCTTTTAGTTTGGGATATTTAATAAGTGGTAAATGCTATTACTAATTAGAGCTTAGTTTCTGTCCTGTTGCACGTTTATAAAATATGATTCTGTTCGTGGACTTTTGAAGCTGGGTATTGAAAAATGTTCAGGCTTACACTTACAATCCTTCCCACAGCATATAACCAATTGACCAAAGGCCCAATGTGAATTTGAGGGGTTTGGGGAGGTCTATTCATAGTTATTTAATTGTTGCGATGTTACTGCAGAACTCATAAGTGGACAGAGAACTTGCTCCCCATAGGTGTGAGTTATCAAAGGTTTGAGGTGCAGTGCAGTTCTGCAGCTGTGGTGATTATTGTACATACCATGTGGCCAAGCAAATTTGGAGCTAAAATATAGTAAGAAAACAGAATAACCTACCCTCCAAGTACAGATGGTGCATGCATTCTTCACCTGCAAGGATACAATACCAGATTAGGGCAAATTTATTTTATTGAGGTCACACCACAATTCAATTTACAGAATAAGAAACAAACCTATACACAAGGCAAACAAAACGGGACCTCACCAAAGGATCTCAAAAATATCTGTCATAGTGACAGCACATTGGAACTAGAAACCCTAGTATCCACTGAATGGAAAAGGAAATTACACCCACACACACGGTAGGAAATGGTCATACTTTGGTCCAGTTGGTTGCACACTCATCTCAGAAGAAGATTGCAAGTTCAAAGGTCCACATAGGAACTTTGAGCTCACAGTCCAGGCTGACAATCATTGCAGTATTGGGGAAAGCATTGCAATTTCAGAGGTGTTATCCTGGTGCAATATACAAACCAAAGTTATGAATAATAATCCTTGCATTTGATTATAGTGCCTTAACATGCCATTGAACCGTCTCAAAAGTGCTTCACAGGATTGGGCATTTATAAACAATTTGCACACAGCAACGTCCCACAAGGAACCATAACGTGAATGACCAGTTTTATCTGGGGGTTGTTGGCCAGCACACCAGAAAAATCTCACTTCTGTTTGAGTAGTGTCATGGGGCATCCACCTAAACAGGCAGATGGGACCACAATCAATGTCTCACGCGAGAGCAACTTGCAAGTCAGATGCTTCCCAAAGAGGCAGGGAGAGAAAGAAAAGACAGTCATATCTGGACTGCTGCTGCAGCCTGAAGAGCAACTTAGAAATATAAATCTGCCATAAATATCTAAAAGTGTCCAATTGTGTGTGTTCCATCAGTCTTACCCAGGCTAAAATTCTCCATACTTGCTGCAATGGATTCCACCACCTTCCGAACGCAGCATTTATCCGCCGTCAACAGTTCTTCATTCAGGCAACTAACAAGGCAGCCAATCACTTCCTCCTTCCAGCTTTCAGGAATATTGCTAAGGGAGCTGCAAGGAAACAATGGCGTTTGAGAATGAATTAAACCTTTTTCGTGAAAACAATGACAGCAAACACCTTGGTGTGAGGAATATTTAAAAAAGTTTTAAATCTAATATATATGTTATCTATTATATGGAATTCAGCAGTGCATTACACCCTTTTGCATCAGATCATTTACATAGATGCCATATAATCTCTTCCCCACCCCCCACCCCCACACATGCACACAGCTATGGAGCTCCAGTACTGTATAACAATTACTGACTGTGCATTATGTCAGACGGCAACATCAAAGTATTTGAAATGTGGTACAAAGGTCCCCTAGTGGCCTAGTGGGTAGACACAAATCCATACACTGGAATGCTATAATTGCGAACCATGATCAGTGCTCAATTTGAGGCATTAAAATTGTCTTCAGCAAATTGAGGTTAGGGGGGACAGAATAAGTCAAGCTCCCACTGCTGTTGACTATCCAATGTCTGAACATTGGATAAGGACAGAAACGACTTCCAAGCGGCTACTAGGAAAGCTGGAGAAGCCACGAATGAGCTATTTTGTTTGTGGAAGCTCGGGATTGCTCATGGTCAAGAACAGCATTACTGAGTTCTGTTATCTGGGAAGATCTTCAAATAGAAAAAAAAAGTCCTGAATCCGCACCCGAGGGAAAGAAACTGGAGTGGGCACCCAAATTGGCACCTGTGGATTGCTTTCTATATTGGCAGCAGTGTCTGCAAGTTCACTGTGCAAGTAAAACAATAAAGCAAATTACTGGAGGGCACCAGAAGCTGGTCTCTCTTTGAAGCAATTTTCGGTTGTCCATCACCCAAATGAAGCATTGATAAACAAGAAAAGTCTGCTGGAGAAGAGCTGAAATTCCAGGAGACCTTGTTCTGAAAGACAAATTGCAAAGAATGCTCCCCACTCCAGGGCTTACCTTGCCACTGCTCTTTTCAAGGGACTTTTGGATTCCACATCCCAGTAAATTCCAACTAGTATTTTTAAGCAATGGTGCGTTTGGGAAAAGCGCACAGGGTCTCTGTCCAGCTTTTGTAACAATGGGCCGATCTAACATTCAAAGAAGAAGAAATTGGTGAAGTACATGGAAATTATATATTTTTTTAAATCGTACTTAAATTTTAAGGCTATGCAGCAAAACAAAATCGATAAAACAACATGAAACTTGAGCCACTGGAAATTAACATGAGCATATGCAACACACAAATAGCAATTTTTCAGCAATCAGAATAATTGACCCAAATATAGAATCTCTAACATGTTTTACTGCAGCATTGCCTGAACTAATGAATGAGAAATCTATGATCCTTGAAAACTTTAAAAATGCAACTTCTTGCTTATATTTGCTCTCTCTCTTTAAGACGGTTTAATGCTGAACAAAACAGGAACTGGGGTGGGCTGTTCAGTTGATCGAGCATTTATTAATTTACGGCAGCTTTTTTTATGCTCATATTAGTTGTGAATTTGAACATGGGAATCTGGACGTTGAAGATTTTGGTGCCTGTAACAGACATTTCCATGTAAACAAAAAATCCTGCATGCGTGCACTTGTCTTGTATTGAGTTTCCCCAATACAATAAAATGCTAATTTTATATTTGTAAAGAGCCCTTCACATCGGGAGGACAAGTCCCCAGACACTTGACAGGTTTGGAACTCGACCTGAGGCGGGAGCCAAAGGGGATAGGAGTGGAAAGATGATCCAAAGCACAGTCAAAGAAGAAGGTCTTGAGATGGACCTTGAAAGAGGTGAGGGAGGGAATTTTTTTTCTGTTTGTAGATCTCCCCTGGTAACAGAGCTCAGAGAGGCTAAAAATTGACTGCCAATACATTAAGAGTTAGGTAATTATCTCGTTTTTATTAACCATGCATTTCTTCTGTAATAATTATTGTGTAAACTTGTGCAAACCACAAATGACAAGTACCTTTTTCAGTGAATGTAACTGCTGCACCCCATCAGTTAGCTCTGCACATTCCAACAGCAAAACTGCCAAACTCCTCTCCTCATCGACTGCAATGGCTGGGGAGGAAAAAATGTAAACATTTCTCAATAACACAGAATGAACAGTTGCAATGTTTCTGAAAGATGTGGTGTGCTGTTGAAATAAAACTCATAAAGCAACATACTGTAACATACTCAAAGAACTCTGATGACATTACAATCTACAAGACTAAAGCTCCAGTGACTTTCACACTGGTCTAAAGTGTAGAATATTATGGCAAAAGGCATGGTTATAAATGAGGTTTGCTGGTATCTTGGCATTGTTGGTTTACTTGTACTAATGAATTAAGTGAAATCTGCCAAGAGGACATCAACCAAGGGAAAAGTGATTATGATAAAGCAAATAGGGAGAAATTATTTCCAAAGGCCGGTAAGTCAGTGACTAGAGGGCTTAAATTAAAAAATCATTGCCAAAAATCATGTTAGAATTTTTTTATTCAGGGGGTCATTGGAAAGCTGTACATAAAACAATGTTTGAAACCATAATAATGAATGGTGTTCGACAAATAAAACAAAGGCATGGTATTTTCCCACATATTTTGTTGGTTGGTATGATAAAATGCTTTGATAAGATGTGAACTGTAATGGCATGTTTTACAAACAAAAAGCTTATAAAATATCTTATGTTCGTAAACGGTCCATTGTAACTTTTGACTTAAATAACATTATAAAATGAATACGGTTTGTTATGATGCAAATGCAAAACGCAAGGATACAAATGCAAAGTGCAAGGACTACTTTACTATTAAATTATTATAAACAACAGTAACTTAGTTTATAAATTATAATGAGAAGAGGAAAAAGTTACTGAACACATGGGCTGGAATGCTGCACGAGAAACAATGCAATAAATCTATTAAAAAAATTATGCATATAAAACATTCAAATATATAGTTGTGACACAAAATGAGCTGCGTTTACTCAATCCTAGCCTTGGGTCATTGACCCAGCTTTTTCCACTGGTCGACCGAGGAGAACAGATAACACTGAGGTGGAGGATTGGGAGCTGGTCAGTCTGTGGATGAGGCTGCAGACCTTATGATTGCACCCCTACCCAACAACAACTGAACCCACAAATACTTATCCAGCATCCGCTGGACAATTCAACAGCATCTTGCATGACCGAACATTAATTGCTTGTAAGGGAAAAGTTGTCACATGGATAATTCTGACTGAATCGCTTCCAATTGGACTTCACTGTGCACTTTACTCCGTCTCTCCCTCCACAAAATCCAGTCACTATCAGCCATTGTTAAGTGTTGCTTCCACGACAGGGAATTTCAAGGTTGAGTGAACCCCACTGCCCACCTGATGAGACCAAGCTCAGCACGTTCTTTTCAGAAAAAAGGTGATAATAATAATCCTTGCATTTAATGTAGCACCTTATCACGTCTTCGAGACGTTTCAGAGCGCTTCACAGAATACACTGTAAAGTGAATTAACTGTATATTTTGTGGGCGAAACACAGCAGCCGACTGCACACAGCAACGTCCCACAAACAGTCATGGATTGAGTGACCAAATTATTATTTTTCTAAGGATTATCCCCTGAAAGATGATTCACTAATCGACTCAACAACCAGGTTCCTACTTACTGTCAGGTAAACAGAGGTGTGTGGAGTAAGGAAACTTGCCCAACATTTTGCCCGGCTGGAAATCGAACCCAGGTCTCTCACAAGGCGATTCCTCTAACCAAGCTACAGGAATCCATAATATAGTTAATAAATACACAAGTGCTGGGTGGGGGTGGGGGGAGAAAGGGAGGGAAACCATATTTCTTAAATTTCCCCAACGAGATGATCGTCAAATAAATGAATAATCCATGCATTTTGATAAGTAGTATCAGGATTTGACACCCATTTACAGCGTGAATGTCCAGTCATCATGTGCGCAGTCAAGGCAATAATAATCCTCATTTTTGACATACCGCCTTTCATGTCAAGAGGATGTCTGAAAGCACTTCACAAGATTTACTGTGAAGTGTAGTGACTGCATGTAATATTAATAACTATGCCGTCCTGGCACAATATTAAAAAAAACTCTCAAGACTATTAGCGAGGTATAAGTACATGCTCCCTTTCCAGATTGGAAAAAAAAGTGAATACCATATGACGTGGAGGAAAATATACTAAAATTCACTTGTGGTTCCAATCATCTATCAAATCGTAAACTTGCATTGCTTTCACAGATATCAGTTGTTTACTATTCCTGGAAAAACATTTAACATTTGCCAAGGTCCTTCCAATATATTTTTGTTAAATGACCAGATACCCAAATTTTAGTCCTGTTCAAAATCTACATTAAAGGCTCTGAAACGCTGCTCAATACATGAACTGCGTAAAGCCTGCAGTGTAATACTTTGTGAATTTTAAGCTAACCTTTTAGGTTAGTTCTTTGTTGGCAGCACTCATTGATTTTTCTCTCCCTGCTTTATGATAATTCGAAGGTTTTTAAGTTTAATTCACTGACTGCCTGGCCTGTTATGACACAATACACAAGAGCTGGAAAAACCCTGTTCCACATCAGTGTAGTTGAAGACTACTTCACTCCGATGCAGGTGGTGCATTATGATCGTGCGAGTCAGCTGCCAGCAATCCTGCTTAATGAGTTGAATGGAGAAATCAAAGCACAATTTTTTTTTGTATTATAAAAAAGTTCTCCTAGGTGGAAAACACTTGGCAGCGCAAATTGCGTTTTTCTGTGACGGGTAGATTTGGTGATCAAATTTACAGCAAAACGGTTTATAACCCATAAAGTAATCTTTATTTGACGGTTTGTTTCTGACATTATCCAACTTGTAGTTAAACAGAATTTTATGCAAGCAAACGTGTCCTGATACACAAATTGGAAAAACATCAATATTGTCTTTTTTCTGTCGAAACAACAACTTGCATTTATATAGCGCCCTTCACACAGGGTAGCAACACAGAGCATTTAAATATACACCCATTTATTCAAATAACTAAATAGCTTCACCTCAGTTCCTTCGTTCAGTTAACTGCTGAGGTTCTAGGTTTAATCGCCAGTCTATTAGCAGCTTTCAGGCAGCACAGAACGAAGGTATCAGGGGCCGGCAGAGAAAAGTGTGTGGGGGTGAAGGAGGGGTGAGGGAGAAAGTTAACCAAGGTTCCCACTCCTAAACCAACACCCCGTTGAAGGTACACAACAACAAATTACATTTGTATAGCGCCTTTCAAGTCAGGATAACATGTGGGCAGTGAGTAAGGACTTGATCAGGGTTGGCTGTGATGGCATTCTGTGGTCAGATAGGCTACTAACACTCACTCAGGGCTCCACACATGCAACATACCAATTTGAGCTAGGCACCAGTAGGGAAACTGGCATTTACAGAACTCTAGTGCCACGTAACGGGGAGAAGAATAATCAACTTCAAGAGAGTAAGAGAAAAGTAGAACTACAAAAAAGTCAAAAATCTAAAAAGATCCCAGCTTAATTTCTAAGTTTTAGAAAGAGAAAGGCGACCCCAGTCCCAAAGAAGCCCATCATTATATTCTTCAGGAAACGGTTGGTCCGACCAAAATATTCTTCCAGTGATGGCACACGAGTGGGAGCTCGCTTTTGATCTTCCCGCACCATTTGCAGAGCTTTCCTCAGTGCCTCCACTTGCTTATCCAGATCCTGAATGCATCGATTCAAGTCATCCAAGACCAGAGCAGATTTGACCACACAGTCCATATCCAGTACTTTCTGCTCGGAATTGGCGACGAGCTGATCAGTCACCTTCCGGACCGTGCTAGTCAGCTGGCCGCAGTCTGCCTTCACTTTCACCAAAAACTTCACAAGTTCTTCACTGCATTCAGGGGTGCTCAAGGCGAGTAACTGAGAAACTTGCAACGCTTCCAGCCGCACTGGGCAAACAGCATCCAAAATTTTCTTCTGGTCTTTCGGGTCGGCGATTCCAATCTTCTCCAGGTCTTCCATCCCCAGTGTCAGGAGACGTCTCAACGATACATCATTCGCCTCAAAATGCTCTCGTAGATGCTCCATCTCCAGCCGGCAAAGAAGCAACTCCAGATCACCAGATGCTGAAACAGAACTCCCTCCGGTCTCCTTCTCTGAATAGGAACGATTCCTGAAGAATTGGGAGACGGCCTCCTCTTTGCACAGGTTCTTTGTTTCTCTCCAGGTCGAAGGCTCCTCGAGTAACGAAGCCAAATGCCAACGCGTATCGTTCTCGGCATCTCCCGCCGCTATCTCCCAGCGTTTGGTCTTCAGTGTTGCATCGGCTCCCAATTTGATCGGCTTCAGTGCTGCGCTCTCCTGGCCTCGGCCGGACCCCCACCTCAGTGCTGCGCTCTCCTGGCCTCGGCCGGACCCCCACCTCAGTGCTGCGCTCTCCTGGCCTCGGCCGGACCCCCACCTCAGTGCCGCGCTCTCCTGGCCTCGGCCGGACCCCCACCTCAGTGCTGCGCTCTCCTGGCCTCGGCCGGACCCCCACCTCAGTGCCGCGCTCTCCTGGCCTCGGCCGGACCCCCACCTCAGTGCTGCGCTGCCCTGGTCCTGGGCATCTCTCTGAGCGCTTTGGGGCAGCAGCAGAGCAGTGCTGTGGGCGGGGCCCTGTGTGGCTCCGGCCGCCGACAGCAGAGAGGTCACCGGGTCACAGTCACTGGTGTCGGGATCCGCTGCCCCGGGCAACCGCGGCGGCCCCTCCCGCTCCGCCGCCTCCCCCTCAGGCCCGAGGCCTCCGGTAACGAGAAGTCCAGGCCTTGCCCTTCCCGGCTCCGACACCCCCTCCCGGGCCCCGGCCTCTCCCCCCCGCCCCGGCCTCTCCCCCTCCCCCGCCCCGGCCTCTCCCCCTCCCCCCGCCCGGCCTCTCCCTCTCCCCCTCCCCGCAGCTCGGCGGCTGCAGCTGCACAGTTCCCGCTGTTGCTGCAGGTCTCCCGGTCTGGAGGGACCGGACCCGCCCCGAGGCTGTGAGGCCCCCACCGCAGGTCATCACCGTCACCGGCAGCCGAGCAGCTCCCAACCCGAGCCCCGTCCCCAACCGGCACTGCCGCCATCTCCCCTCCCACTGCCCCCCCCCCCGCCCCTCCCACTGCCGCCATCTCCCCTCCCACTGCCCCCCCGCCCCTCCCACTGCCGCCATCTCCCCCCCCTCCGCCCCTCCCACTGCCCCCCCCGCCCCTCCCACTGCTGCCATCTCCCCCCCCACTGCCCCCCCGCCCCTCCCACTGCCCCCATCTCCCCCCCCACTGCCCCCATCTCCCCTCCCACTGCCCCCCCCGCCCCTCCCACTGCCCCCATCTCCCCCCCCACTGCCCCCCCCACTGCCCCTCCCACTGCCGCCATCTCCCCTCCCACTGCCCCCCCCGCCCCTCCCACTGCCCCATCTCCCCTCCCACTCCCCCGCCCCTCCCACTGCCCCCCCGCCCCTCCCACTGCCCCCCCCGCCCCTCCCACTGCCCCCCGCCCCTCCCACTGCCCCCCGCCCCTCCCACTGCCCCCCCCCCCCCTCCCACTGCCGCCCCCCCACTCCCCTCCCACTGCCCCCCCCCCTCCCACTGCCCCCCCCCTCCCACTGCCCCCCCGCCCCTCCCACTGCCCCCCCCCGCCCCTCCCACTGCCCCCCCCCCCCCCACTGCCCCACTGCCCCCCGCCCACTGCCCCCCCCCCCCCCCGCCCCCGCCCCTCCCACTGCCCCCCCCCACCCCATCCAAAGTGGTAAAGGTCACAAGAACTTCCTGGCTACATGTCCCAGAAGCAAAGTTATTTGCTTCAAATCCAGCTGGGGGGGTGGGGGGGAATTTAATTACAAATGTAATTATTTTACTAATAACTTAAAAACTCCCATTTTGCAATATGCTCATTCAATAAAGATTAGCATTTTAAATAAGAGAACTGTTTTCAATATTACACAATGTTTCCAACCCCAAAACCTGGGTTCCCCCACATCAGGTTTGAGGTTACTGTCCAGACTGATGGTCCAGTGCAGTCCTCAGGCAGCGCTGCATTGCCAGAGGTGCCATCCTTAGGTGAGACGTTACTGGGTTTTCTAGATAAATTCGTCAACTTCAAGGCTGTTTGTAGGACCTTGCTGTGTGCAAACTGGCTGTCACACTTACCTACAAAAGTACTAAATCACGCAACGCACACTCAACAACATTTACCTATAAAGCATTTTTGAAATATTTTGACATCAATCAGTGCTGTATCAAATGCAAAGACGATTTTGACAGCTTAATGACGCTTGATTTGGCAAAATCTTCACATGGCTTTTTAGACTGACCGATTCTCAGCCCCGTGCGCTGAGAATCAACAGCCAGCAATTGCAAGGCGGGAAACCACAGTTATTTTAATGTAGCAAGATATGTTGGCTCTGAGAAGAGATAATGATAGTCAAGGAGGGGAAGAGAATCTTTTGACAGCTTTAGGAAGAGGGTGAGGAAAAGTCATAATAACAATAATAATCCTTGCATTTGATATAGCGCTTTTCACGTCTTCGAGACGTCTCAAAGCGCTTCACAGAATATGCTGTATAGTGATTTGACTGTATATTTGTGGGCGAAGAGAAGTAGAAGGTGAGTAAGCTGTGCCGATCTTGGCCCATTAAGGGTTTCAAAGTTTTAAAATCATATCAACTCATTCGCATTTTCTGCATTTTCTCTATCATGCAATAACATTAGTGTGAGTTACGGAGGACAGGCCCCGCACAGTGCAGCGGGGAGGACAGGCTGGTGCGGCCGGGGCGGGCAGACCTCTGCACAGCTCGGACGAGGCGGACAGCCCTGTGCGTTGTGGCGGCGGAGGCTGCCAGGCCCCCGCTCAGCGCGGCCGGGCAGGACGAATCCATGCACGCCACAGCGGAGCGGACATCGAGCAGCCCATTGCAAAATACTGGCTGCTGCATCTAAAGTAACAAAATAGAAGGCTCATGAAACCCGTTTGCTGTTTTTGGTTGTTTGATCGACCAGAATTTTGATTGCGTCATTCACAGAAACAAACCTCTCAAAGCACTTGATAATATAAGATTGTAAATAGGGCTTTGAGCAATATAGGAGTGGGGGACCCGTGTGGTTTAGGAGAGGGCTCATGTGAAGTATCAACACTTCACGGACCTGTTGGGCCAAATATCCGGTTTCTGTGCTGTGCAATCTATTCGATTAGATATGAAGTAAACATTGTCAAGGTAAGCAACTGTAAAAATACATGACAACAACAACTTGCATTTATATAGTGCCCTTCGCGCAGTGTCGCGCCGCGGAGCGCTTAATGCTATAACAAAAAGTGCAAACTGCACTCATTGTACAAAGTATTTGATGGCTCTTTAAATTCACTGTCTATACCCAAATAGTAATGTATTTGCCCCTCTATCTGCCCCCCAACACACACACATACACCCCAGTAACTGACATCAAATCCCGCAATTTAGCAGACAGCGGCGGCTGCATAATAATAATAATATTAATAATAATCCTTGCATTTCATATAGCGCTTTTCACGTCGGGAGGACTTCCCAAAGCGCTTCACAGAACACTCTGTAAAGTGAATTGACTGTCTATTTGTGGGCGAACGCGGCAGCCGATGGCGCACAGCAATGTCCCGCAAACAGTCGTGGATTGAAAGTGACCAATTTATTATTGTTTTTGGTTTTGGAGGGATTATTATTAGGCTCTGTGTGGAGTAAGGAAACTTGCCCAAGGTTTCGCCCTGACCTGTCTATAATGTCTTCCAGAAGCTGAGACAACAAACAGCTTTAACAAACCATTTACAGGACCGTGACAGAGATTCGGTGCGCGTACAACCTTCACAATTAATGGTATCCCAACAGTACAGTACAGTACAGGATCCGCCGGTGCTCGTGTAAACTTGCACTGCCCACAGCTACTAACATGGAGAGTATAACAACACTTACCCCTCAGGCTCTTCAGCTTCTCCTCGTCCAGAACAACACGACCCACGGCGACGTCTTTCTTCTTCTTTAAAACCATGTTGCTTCCGGTACCTTAAGACAACGGAGCATAAAAAGAGCGAGACAGCTCTCTCCCTCTCTCTCTCTCCCCTTTGAACAGAAGCCTCGTTCAAACAGAACAAACCCCTCCCACAGGACACACCGCTAAACCCCCGGAAACTTTACTGAACATTCACCACCACACGGGAAGCAACTGCAATCTCTTGCCTCGCTGTGCGGGAGCCCCCGCCGGGCTGACAGGGGGCCCCCGCCGGGCTGACAGGGGCCCCGCCGGGCTGACAGGGGGCCCACGCCGGGCTGACAGGGGGCGGCCATGTTTGCGGCGTCCCTTCACTCACTCACACCCACACACGTCACTGCCGCCCCGCCCCCCACGCTCGCCCCGCCTCCTCGCACCGCTCCCATTGGCTCCTGGGCACTTACCGCGGTGTCAGTGGGCGGCTTTCCCACAGCCCCATTGGTCGTTGGGCGCCGTCAATCATGGAACCTTTGCCCGGATGCTCCACCCCCAGTTACAAATTGGATACACAGTGAGTTTGGGAGAGAGCAGATAGACACACACACACACACAGGGAGAGAGGGAGGGAGGGAGGGAAAGTTATAGGGCAATGATGGAGTGGGGGGACCTCGTCCGCTAAACTGCTGTTCGCTATTTTCCTACTCTGTCAACTTTCTCTTCTAAGCAGAGAATGCAGTGTTTTACCAGGTGGGTGTTCATTTATATTTATTTAGTTATTTTTTTTGGTGGGAGGAATATTATCAGAGCTTTGTGTGTATGTGTGTTCAGTGAAAGTCTTTTGGGTTTGTACAGCATCTTTTTTTTTTGTCCCCCCCCATCCCCCCCTCCCTCCCTCCCTCCCCCCCCCCTCCCCTCCCTCCCCTCCCTCCCTCCTGCTCCCTGGATGTTTCGTATCTGATGTCATTCACAGAGAGAGTGGAAAAAAGATGAGGATCGGCACTAAATACTTTGGGATTGGGGGGAATTGGAAATTTCGAGAGCTGTGGCAGCGGACGTTTTTCGTTGCAATGCAACGTACTGATGCCGATAAAAACATTCACGGAGGAAAGATCTGATGCGAAGCCCATTCACTTCCAAACCCCATCGGTGTAAAACGTTCACACTCCAAATTTAACCCATCGAGGTTTAACAAACCAAAGATCATCATCATTATTATTATTATTATTATTATTATTATTATCATCATCCTGCACCACAGGATGCGGGGTTACAAATATTTGTAAATTGTCATTTGTTTTGTTTGCATCACGTTTGAATCATGTTGGAATAACGTTTGCAGAAAAAAAACACCAATTGCACGATCAGGAGTTACTGTACGTCTCTTCAGACAGAGCAGCTGTTTGCTCAGTGCAGTGCCAACAGATCACAGGAGGTAGATCTTTAAGATCAAACAGCAGACTCGATCCTTTCGGCGATACAGCAAAGAATCAGTGGAAAAAGCAGCATCGTTGAGGACTAAATAAATCCCGACCTGTCTGAATTTGAACCAGAGGTGCGACAAATCTTAAGGACCAAAAATAGCAGCAGTGAAAGCATAGGGCTGGAAGTGCCATATCTATGTTACATACTAATAATGGGGAGGCTATTGGCATTGCAATTCACAGTTACTTTGACAATGAGAGTCCTCCATATTCAAGCATCAATGAACCACCCTTTTTGGGGGGGGTTTCTTCTGCTGCAAGTAAACCAGAAACATAGCCATGTGTACAGTAATTGTGTTTTTTTTTATATAATGAGATGTTAGCAGAATCTGGTTGTTTGCTTAAGTCGTTGTTTCCCACTGGTAACCATTACCCGAAATTGCAGCCTTGTTCTGATGGTGGGAATTATAATAATAATAAATAATAATAATAATCCTTGCATTTGATATAGCGCTTTTCACGTCGGGAGGACGTCCCAAAGCGCTTCACAGAATATACTGTAAAGTGAATTGACTGTATATTTGTGGGCGAACGCAGCAGCCAATTGCGCACAGCAATGTCCCACAAACAGTCGTAGATTGAAAATGACCAATTTATTATTGTTTTGGGTTTTTGGAGGGATTATTATTAGGCTCTGTGTGGAGTAAGGAAACTTGCCCAAGGTTTCGCCCTCTGCCTGGAATTGAACCCAGGTCTCTCACTTGCAAAGCAAGTGCTCTAACCACTGAGCTACAGGACTCCAATTATAGTAGTAGAAGATGCAGCATTATTTTCATGCTGTTTAATTTGGGCATTGTTTTAGTGCTGATGCATTGTGTGCTTGTGTTGGGGGGGAAAAAGAAAAAAACTAGATTTTGGAAACCATTTATCTGTTTTATTATTTAGTGGTTCTCTTAACTATTTAACTGCTGAGATTGCCAATTGGACAAACCCTCCAGTCACTCAAATCGCACAGTTTTAAAGATTGATTTTGCAGCATTCGTTTAACTACATGCAGAATTGTTTATTGAACCCATGCAGTTTGGTAAATTAGTGACATTGCCCAAATTGAGAGGTTAATGATACATTACAAACAAAAACGTGTGGATTTGAGTTGGGACATCACTTAATCATTGATGTATTGCAGACTATGTGCTACCCCACTCACTGGGCAATCGCTCATGCCCTTTTCAACTTTCCCCTCCTTACAGAATGCAAAGTATTGTATAAACAACACATGCTTGTCCGGTAGGTTTGCAGAACATCAGAGAACTTGAAAGAGCCCGGCACAATTTATGACTCAGTATGAGGCATGGGCTGGTGTAACGGATCCTTATGGTTCCTTTCAAACATGATGAATTGCACTAAATATATTTTATGGGCATTTCTGACCTTTCCCTTTTTTGGTCCTTCAATATGCTTCCTATCTACACCTTTCATTTTGGAAAAAACATTTCAAGCAGAAAACTTGAAATAGTGCTCTATGTCGAAACATCTCCATGCACCCCACAATGATTACAGTCAAGTCCTTTGTAAGGAAACGGGGTAGCCATTGACACCAGGGTTGTTTGCTTAGACACTGGGAGACTCCCTTGTTGTTTTTCAACATTGTATCAATAAATAAGTCTTGCATTCGATATAGCAGCTTATCATGTCTCAAAGTGCTTTACAGGATTTACTGTAAAGTGTACTGACTGTGTTTTGTAGGCAAACAGGGCAGCCAATTCACGCACAGCAGTGTTCCTCCCCATAGCCATGAAGTAAATCATCAATTTTAACTTGGGAATTGTTGGCCAGGACACTGGAAGAAATGTCATTCTCTTTTTAAATAGTGCCTTTGGATCTTTAACGCCCTCCTGAACAGGAAGACAGGACCCCCAGTTTAACGTGTCACTCGAAGGACAGCACTTCTGGTAACGCAGACTGTAATAACCAATATAATATATATAATATATATAATACAATATAATAATAAAATGTAATAACCAACTGTATTGGAATATCAACTTAGACTATGAGTCCAAAGTCTCAATGTGGGAGCTTGAATATATGCCCGTCTGATGCAGAGGTAAGAGTGCTACCAGATGAGCCAGGCTATCACCTTTATGTAATTTATCATGATACCTGAAAATCAGGCCGACAGGTGCTTAGTTTAATGTTTCATCTGAAAGAGGACACTTCTGACATTGCAGCCCCCCCTTCCACCGCACACACACATGCAGTACTCTGTACTACATAGTGCTCTGGAATGCTACCCCACATGTAGGGATGCTATATAAATGCAAGTTGTTGTTGTTGTGGCACAAGAATGTCAATCTAGACTATGAGCTCAAGACCCTGTGTGTAGCTTCAACACACAACCTTCTGTCCCAGTGGTAAGTTTGTTACCAACTGAGTGATTCTTTTCTTTAAAAAGAAAACAATATTTTTAAATAATATAAAACACATAATCCATGATAAAGCAAAGAACACAGAATAGCTTCCAGCAAAGGTGAGAAATTGTGAACCATTCGGATGTTAAAATCTCGCAAACAATATATTATATATATATACGTACACATATCGTAACTAGTTTTGAACAGAAACTGTGGGACTCTTGCCAGTGAATATTAGAGCTTGATTCAGTTCATGACAGTGGGAAGCCCAGTTTATTACCAGAGTGAGAAGAGAAATCAAATGCTATGGCTTATATTTTTGACCAGCTCATCTTGTGTCCTAATAGGTCAAAGCTGCTTCAATACAGGCATTACACCAGGGAGGTGGAATAGTGGATCAGAGACATACAGCAGTATTATAATAATAATAATAATCCTTGCATTTGATGTTGCACTTTTCACGTCTTCTAGCAGTCTCAAAGCGCTTCACGGAATAGACTGTAAAGTGAATCGACCGTATATTTGTGGGCGAAATGTACTGACGCACAGTGGTATATACAATAGAATGTACTGTACTGACCAGCAACCTGGATTCTATGAATGCCTCAGTTCGCCCAGATCCTGCAGTATATCTTGCACAAGTAATGTTGAATAAACAATGTACATGTTATGAGAATGTTTCATACTGATCTTGGGTGGATTAATTTTTGTGATCAAAATGACTAGCCTGAAGCCAGGATCTCAGCCAAATTCACAATTAAAGGCATATATATATATAATATATATATAAAGATCCTCCAAATATATTTGGTTGTTTGCTTTATGGCTGTTTGTGGGTGTTTGCTGTTCTCAAATTAACTGCTGCAACACCTATAAATGCACTTTACTCAATTAACTTGTGAAGTACTTTGAAACCCTTTGATATTATAGGAATGATACAATTGGTATTATGTTCACAAGCACAAGACCAATGAAGTGAGTCTAACTTAAAGACTTATTTGAAGTACAGTATTAGGTGCCCATGCATATGCTGGCCTTGGATGGCAGATTTAGTAGCTGGGATGAAGTGCCGTAGCTTTGATGAGAGCCTGGACAAATTTGGGTTATTTTCCCTAGAGCTGAGAGGTCAAGTTGTGATCTGACTTAATTGTTTAAGTCAGGTGGAAAATTGACAAAGTAGTTTGGGGATATTCTTTTCTCTGATAGATCATGTGTCACATTTGGCATGTTATCGTCTCAAGGTCCTAGGCTGATTGTCACATCTGCTGACTGTGGCGAGTGCTCATCCATCAAAAACCTCACGTCTGTCACACTAATGATGTGAATTCCCTTTTCTTGCTTTCTCCCTGCCTTCAAAGTCCTCTTGAAAGCCCTTCTCTTTGACTCTGTCCTGACTTGGTCAATACCCTTTATTCTTCCTCAGTAGAAGATCATGGCTGTATAGACTTCCAAGACATTTTCCAACCCACTCTCCTGCAGAAGTATTTATTAGTATTGCTTCACACTGACCTTTAGGATTTTTATACAGACTTGTGCTCACGCTTTGATCCTATTTTTGTTCACAGAATACTGGATATCAAGATTTCTGCCTTGTAACAAAACACAAACTAACCATGGCGGAGGGTTTGGAGGCAGCTGGGGACATTGACTGGAAAGAGCGGTGCATGAGTCTGGAGTCACAGCTGCTTAAGTTTCGTATTCAAGCCAGCAAAATCCGAGAGCTTCTTGCAGAGAAGGCAAGTAGATAAGATCAAGTGAGATGGAGAGGCACCACTCCAGTCTGGTCTTTGTTTATGACTTGGGAATAAACTGATTTCCTTTCACTAAAATACACACCTTTACATTTGGGAGTCAAAACTAGAGTATTGTTAAGCACATTCCGTTCCTTTATCAAGGAATGACATTAAAACTGCAATCTAGGCCTCCTGAAATCCTCAAACCCAACCGAGCCTCAGTAACATTGCAGTATGCAAGAAAGGAGTTTCCTCATGCTTATTCACGGGATACTGCAAATTGAGTTAAATCCCTGAGTGAGGTCAGAACGGCCCCTTTTTGGCTCCTGAAAATAATCTCCATTAAACATGAATACAACACTGTTGCAACCAGGCTTTTTAGACTGGATTGAGAACTACCATTATTTAGAAGTAAGGGAATACACATTATAACAGTATTCTTTAAAAAGAAGTACAATATATTTTGCTACAACTTCCCCGCCCCCCAAAAAATTTTAATTTGCTATCTCGGTGCTGATTTCAACAGTGGGTGAATTACAATAATCCCAACTCAAGGGTGAATTTTAAATGAGTTAATCTGATCAGGTGGTGGTGGCAATAGAGGGAGAATGGATGGGTTGGGGTGGGGGGGTGGAGGAAGACAGTGAGTATGTGGGTGGGAGTTGTAGGTGAAAAGTACATCAGACATGATTTTGAGCGAAAAACATATTTACTCTTTCCTAAAAGAGACAACTACTGTTCATTAATGCACAAAGCACCCCTCTAAAAACTCGCTGTAAGAAAGAGCTTCCTGTTTTTTTGTGTCACTCATAATAGTTATTCTGTGTTGAAGTTAGTAAGAAGCATGTGATTTTGCAGGATGATGCAGCAAAGCCAACTGATGAGAAGTGTTTGTGAAGACGGCCAAACATTCAGTCCTTTTAAAATTAAATTTTATGTGGATTTTTCTTTTTTAAAGAAATTTCACTAAACTTTTAATGGGATCCAAAATGTGGTGACTTGAAATCGCTGAATTTAAGATTCCTCCTCCCTGCATATTTTCTCCTCACGACATAGTGTGTGGTGGTGGGGGTTTGGGGTGGGTGGTGTTAAAGATCTCGTGGTGCTATTCAACAAGAGAAGGGAGTTTCTCTCTCTCTTGCCGGGTTTCTTGGCCGACAATCCCCCACATAAAATTGGTCACTCAATCCACAATAAGGCACTATATTCAAATGCAAATGTTATTATTATTATAGCAATCCCACTGGGTAATTGCTTTATGATTCAGATGGACATTAAGGGACATTTTCTCCCCATTGCCATTATGTCTGTCTGCTCCTGGTTCCCAGCCTCCTCTTGCTGGGATGCAGTTCTATGAGTGCAGGTTGTCTGCTGGTGCCCCACCCAAATGGTCAGCGTTCATGCGTGAGCCTTGACAGAGTGTCCAGAGTACCACTTGACTGTAGAAAGACATCACAACTGAGCCTGACCTCTCCTCACTTGGCTAGCACCTACGTGCACTAATAGTTGATGGTATTGAAGGGGGACAAGAAGCAGGAACCAAGGTGTTGTACTCCACCTAACAACAACAACAAAATTACAGTACCAGTTCAGCCTCCTCTTGCTACCCCAGCTGAGACAAGCGAACTCAGCATAGATTCGAACCAGTGAGCTCCTGGTCTATATTGGCAACTCTATCCACTACCCTGTTGGGGGGACACCCTGCCTACTATCAGGGCCTTCCCCTACCTACTAACTTACTAAAAAGTGAAGACACTCATACTGTGACAAGACATAAGCTGGTGACCTCCCCACAATAATGTACAATAATTTCTACTTTGTCCTTTAGACAATTTGTGTTTTACCCAGTTCTACTTTTCCCCATTTCCACATCTACCCCACAAGCAGGCTAAATAGGCCCAAATCCAGACAGATTGGGGTGTGTCAGCTTTTTTTTTTGTCTCTCTCGCTGGTTGGGCATCTGGCCGCACACATGTGGTTAAGTACATACAACAGAATGTTGGTCTGCCTTAGAATTCGAGCTCACGACCACAGTGGGAATGAACTGCTTAACCTCTAACAACGCTGGGCCACCTTCCAATAGTTCCTTGGACTTTTTTTGGAGAAACAAAAAGATGTATTTTTCCATCACTTTGTCTTGTAAAACTCGAAATTGCAATTCTTGTAGAAATACCAAACCAAGCTTTTCAAACCAAACTGAATGCAGATCCCCTTTCGTTGAAAAGATTCAAGGTTTGTAAAGTTGAAATACTCACAATAATAATGATAGTATTTGGATTTGATATAGTGCCTTAGCACGTCTTTGAGCGGTCTCCAAGCACTTCACAGAATATACTATAAAGTGAATTGACTGTGCATTTTGTGCACGAACTTTGTGCATTTAAACAGCAACAACAACAAACAGCTTCCTGTAAAGCCTTGCAATGCTTTACAGAGACTGTGCCATATACTGTGCGAGAGCATGGGGAGGAGGTACATTTGGTACAGTCAAAGAGGTAGTATCTGTAAAAGGAGTTCGAAATCAGCAACAGTGGTGTTCTAGGATAATGTCTTTCTGTTGTCCTCGTTTCTCTGTGTAGCCACATGAGGTTGGAATAATATTCTCTACGACTGAATGGTAGAATTATAGACTCGGTGTAAAGTACCATGGATATGTCTTAAAACCCTGGGTATTTTAAAATTCTCTAGGTATGTCTGCACATGTGCTTGGGATAATATTAGATGATGTTAGACTGATGGTATTATTGGTTCCCTATTCGAGTTCCGTGTCCTCTTTAATATTACTGTCAATTTGACATTGGTGTCAAATTACACAACTCAGAAACAAAACTACAAGGCTTAATGAATGCACTTTTCTCATTCTTGTGCTGAAGTTGTTAACTTATTGGAAGAAGAACAACTTGCATTTATCTAACATCCTTCACGTTTCGGAACACTGAGCATCTCAGAATAGAGTCCTTACAGGGGCCTGTGAAAGAAAGTGTGATTAAAGAATTCAAAAGATGAACAAATAAATTCCTGATTTAACAGGGAAGAAGAGAGACCAGTTGTGTCTCCAGTGCAGGAGAGAAACAGAGCAAAAACAACAACAACAAAATTACATTTGTAAAGCGCCTTTCATGTCAGGAGGCCGTCCCAAGGCATGAACAGTCGGGGACTTACTTTAAACATTAAAATAAGCAAAGATCAGTGCCTAGTACTACAATACCAGGTATTTTGGGGGAGAGAAGTAGGGGGGAGGGTGAAGGGGAAATCTACTCTTCATTAAATATCACTTCTCGTTCAACAGCCTGCTGGCCACTTGTGAAGAGTGAACCAAATATTTAGATTCACTGGGAAAAAATGATTACGTAACCTCCCAGCTACAGTACAGCTATTGTGGGTAAAGTTTATGATTGTCGGAGCATTCTTTGTGTTCGTTTACACAAGGAATGCTTTAAAAATTGCAAAGTTTTTCCTCTGCCTCAGTTTCAGAATGAATCTGAGTGAGTCTTGAAGTTACCGTACATTATTTGCACTTTTCAATCGGCATCGATGTTGCGTGTTCAGGTGACCTTGGGCCACACGGGTCATCTTCTGAATGCTGTCTGATTATATCACTTTTTATCACCAGGCAGTTTCTAATTCCCTGAAACCGCCTGGTGATAAAAAGTGCTTACAAAAAACTCTGCTGACGAATCTAAACAAGCTGGACTACTGGCAGACTGTAATGAGGCCTGACTCCCCACTCTTCTCTATCACATTCCCTAATTTTATGTCATGTACATTATATGGCATGCGGATTTCTCTTCCATTCCTTCATTATTACCTTCCCCCAGACTGCAGGTGCCCTTTGACAGTTATCAAAATACGTTATCAAAAAGTTCCATCTAACTCACTGCGGATTTGGGAGTCAACACCTAACATCCCTCTTTCCCTCTTCCCTTTCCCCCTTTCCGTTTCCGCTCCCCCTCCCTCTCCACAGGTGGCAACCAAGGCTTGGGGACCCCAGAGTGTGTGTTGGGGTACTGCTGGAGTCTAACCAGCTAAAACCACATGGCTTGCCATTGATATTGCTGTCCCACTGCTTGTCCAGCTAGGACCACCCTACCCGTTAGGGCTTTGGCTTGCAGGGTTAATAGGAGCTGAGTGAGATGACTCCCTGCCCCGAGTGACTGATGTACCCTTCCAGGTCCTGCCGATGAACTAGTTTGGTTATGCTGTCATCAGCAGCGCGCTGGAATATTGCGGACCCGCTTGTCTCAGGAACCAGACTGCCACAGATTCCGATATTCCATTGCCAGGCATGATCACCTTGGAGCCAGTTCAGCTCCGAGGAGACGCCGTTTAACAATAAGATGAGCAGCAAGTGTGTATACGTTAAAGCCCAGTGTCACCAGTGAATAACCCTATCCATCTCTTCTCTATGTTTTCACCCCTCTACATTTTATCAAGGGATGAGACTTGCTTACTATTGGAAGCCATATCTTCCGAACAAAAGCTTTATTGCAAGCCACTGATGTGAACTAGATTTCAGAAACTTGAAGCCAAGTGAATGTAAAAACAAAACTTGCTACGTGTACAATGACAATTTGCTTCTCAAATGGAAAAACGTCTTGAGGCACTTTATATGTGTGGGACATGGAGCAGGATTGGAAGTTGGGGTGTAGGGAGGTGATCGAAGGCCTGGCCAAAGAGGTAGTTCTTAAAAGGGTTTTAAATTTCTGGATAATGTTTTATATCAGAAAATACATTTATACATTATAAGTTCGCTGCTGCTTTTCACCCACAAAAGATAGTCAATTCACTTTACAGCATATTCTCTGAAACGCTCTTGAAGATGTGATAAGTTGCTATATCAAAAAAATGCAAGGAGTATTTATTATTAAAGGCAGGGAGTGACATGGATGGATTTAGGGAGGTAGTCCCAGAGAACAACAACAACAAGTTTACATTTGGGATGGTGTAAGACATTATCTAAAGTCCTATTGAAAAGTGGAGCACAGAGGTAAAAGCTTTGCGTA